GGCGCGGCGTAGCGTGGTGGCGTGCTGCTGCGGCTAACTGGGACGACGGAGAGCGCGTCGGCGAGCGGGAGGGCGGCGGAGAGAGCAACAACTAGCGGGAGCGCGACGGAGAGAGCAGTGGTTAGCGGGAGGATGGTAGGGAGACCTACGGCTAATGGTAGGACGGTGGAGAGAGCAGCGGCTAGCGGAAGGATGACGGAGAGAGCAGGGGGGAGCCGAAAGATGGTGGAGTGAGCAACGGTCAGTGTGGGACGGCGGAGAGAGCAGAGGCCAGCGGGAAGGCGGTGGAGAGAGCTACGGCTAGTGGTAGGACGGCGGAGAGAGCAGAGGCCAGCGGGAAGGCGGCGGAGAGAGCTACGGCCAGTGGTAGGACGGCGGAGAGAGCGGGGGCTTGTGGGGGGGGGGGGGGGGGGGGGGGGAATGGCGGAGAGTGGACAGGCTAGCGTGAGAACTGAAAATATAGGAAGGACGAGTTGTAGGGCAATGGAAAGACGAAGGAAGAGCATTGGTTAACGGAACGCTGGGCTCAGAGCGTTCAAAGGTAAATATTTTCACCGAGACGCTTGCTATTCGCGTATGGTATTGCCGTGGTTTGGTTCCGAAGTCATGCCGTGCTCTGCATTTTGACTTGGCTACGAGATCTGCAATCTCCGACTGATATGATGGGCACATTTGACGCTCGTTATGCTCTTCCACTGGTGTTCCATGACGAATAAAATGCTGACGCATTCAACACGATTCCATTGGCTTGGTCCCTAAGATTCTGTCACATTTGACTCTCGTTATGCTCTTCCACTGGTGTTCCACGACGAATAAAATGCTGATGCATTCAACACGATTCCATTGGTTTGGTCCCTAAGATTCTGTCACATTTGACGCTCGTTATGCTCTTCCACTGGTGTTCCATGACGAATCACATGCTGGCGCATTCAACACGATTCCATTGGTTTGGTCCCTAAGATTCTGTCACTCGACCCGAGAGGCCAGTAAGGGACAGAGAGGGGCGGACGGATGTGCGAAGCCGTTGGTTGTACTCGTACGATGATCTTCCTCTCCATGGGCTCTTGCGGGCGTGCGAGGTTGACTGGATGCGATATTCATTACCAACCTCGAATAAACGTCAGTGATTGCCGCACATGGTCTGCGCAAGAGCTGCGTCAGACAGGACCCCGTGCGAAGCTGTCATTCCTGCGAAGCCATGGCGGTGTAGCTATGCGGTTAAAGCCGTGGCTGACTTCCAGATCTGAACATCCAATAGAAAGATAAGGACCATGCAGTCTTTACGTCGCCACTTGAACGTAATATTTTGTTGATTGGATGTGCAATGGGCAAAATTCCTCAGCGGCGTATCCAGGATTTCGTCCAGGAGTGGGCCGAACCCGGTAGATAGGGGCCGTTTCAGCCAGAGGCCCCTCGTCGCAATAGGGGCCCTATTCTTAATTCAGCCGAACTCGGGATCATATTTGGGTGCTTCAGATGCCCGTTTGTTATATTTTAGAAAGTCTTTGAGCGTTTTCAAGTGCCAAAAAGTGCTGGGGCTGTCGGTTTCCGGGTTCCCTGACACTTGCAGGGGTGGGGTATGGCCCCATAAGCTCCCCCTTAGTTATGCCACTGATGTGCCTCGCTATGACATTAAACTTGCTTGTTATGCCAGCAACGAAAACACGCTGCCTACAGAATGCGTAGCGTGAGACGCATGAGCCATCCACTGAGGCTAACATTGACACAACTGATATCAGCACCGATAGGGACGGCACGAACGCAGGACACTGACCGATGTTGGACATATGTTGAAAACACCTAACACCTACAGCAAGGTGTGACGGTTCGTTTTACACGAAAACCAGGGAAACTCATGTCAGCTTATTCCCGATTTTGAATCGCTAACTGTCAGAAGTGCGTTTAAACCACCAATAACCGTAGCTAGAAGCATGCCGTCTTCAGTTCAGTTCGCACTGAACTGCTCAGACTGACATCAATCCTCCATAATGTGGTACGGCTTCCGTGTTGAATTCTCGCCTGGTATCTGTGTCGGAGAGGCTTTCTTATGTGCTGGTCGAAAACAACTCATGAACGCCACGCCCTGCAAATTTCGGAGTGAAGTAATGATGAGTATCGTGGATATAATGTGAAACAAAACTATTGCGGTAGTTATTTTGCGACAATCTGTGGACTCACACCAAGGCTCTCGCTGTGTGCAAGCTTAGGTGAGATGGAACACTCACATATTTTGTGTGTCCGGTGTTCATTGGTGGAGCACGGAACACTGGCATCACTGGCATCGCCAACTTCAGAAGGCTCTCTCACGTTCCTCATGGCCTCTTCTGATTCTACGACGGTGATAACACGAGCACGCTTAACAAGGAGAGCTCTCGAACTGCACCCTTTAAGAATGGTTCCCATCTATGGCCAGAAGTATGAACTCAGCTTACATGTACATGAGACCACCTAGTTTTTGGCTCCACCTTGCAAAAGCAATGAATTATTTTTGGTGCTCTGCAATTTGGTGTGGATCATAATCGGACCCCTGAGGTCTTTGGTCTTAGAATTGTATTTCTTGCAATAATTTGTCTGGCTTACCCAAGGCTGTCTAACGGCTGTCCGGGGCTGGGCGTCCCTACTCTTTGTCTATATTCCCAAGACATCCATGATCATGCTTGATCCCAACTTTGGCGACCCCCAGAGCACTGACCATAGGTTTAGGCACGCCTGAAATGGATGATCTCAGCCGGTGATTCGTCTTCATGTATCTGAGGCATAACGTCGTGTTGCAAAATTTCTGCTGGATGTGGTCTTTCTTTTCCAGAAGCTTCTCCGCTGCCGGCTCAGCTCGTGCTCATAAATGTAAAAATAGATGTCCGCATCAGGGGTGAATAATCACTGCATCTCAACTTCGTATGGCGTTTTAGCCTTTCTGCATGTCTTCACGTTACTTTCGCCTGTTCTTCTTTGGCGGGGCATCTTGCTATGGATTGTTTGCCGCAAGCACCTTCCTTGATTGGTGGTAGGGTTATCGTTTCTAAACCGACATGAATTTGAAAGTTAAATTCCAAATTGGAGTGCATGCTGGAAAGCAGCTTGTATTATACAGCCGAATAGGAGCCCGCGCGGTCCAAGACTATGTCGAGCGCCATGTCTAAGCCGCAGAGCGTCCGATAACTACCTTACTTGTCGGGATGTTTTCATTTCACTATGTATTTGAATCTCGCCAGATCCTCTCGCTAGAAACTAGTCATTAGGTGCGTATGTCAGGAAGATCCCCAGCAGTAGGTAAAGATGTCAGGAAGATCCCCAGCATTAGGTAAAGATGTCAAGAAGATCCCTAGCATTAGGTAGAGATATCAGACAGGATGAGACGGTTCCGTGGTTCTAAGAATAACTTCAGGAAAGCTGATGAGAGGATAGGTTTATGATGGCGTCGACGGCTGGTTGAAGGCCCGCTGCCGCCGCCCTGTCACGGCGCGGCCACTCGGTCCGGAGCAGCAGTACCGGCGGGCCACCAGGGCGCCGTCCGGCCCCGTCCGTGACCGTGGGCCGCCGGGGGCACGTCCGGACGTCCGAGGTCATCCGCCCCTCCCGGGGATCAATGACAAAGGTGTGACGTCACGGCCCGCTCGGTCGGCCAGATGACCAGCGGCTCTAATTGGCCGGCTCCAGCCCCCACAGGCTAATCGCGGTCTTACACGCCGCACAAGGAGCGGCGAGAGATCGCGGTCTCGGCGCGGGAACGGAGATGCGGTGCTGCTGGAGGTGGTGGCGGCGGCGGTCGAGGCCGCAGCGGTTCACCTACCACTCTCAGTCGATCGTGGAGCTGGCGTTGTGGATGTCCTGGTGACCCGCTTCAAGCCGGTCCCGAACACGACTTCAAACACAGCCTCGTAGAGCAGTGGAAAGGTCATCTGTAGGCTGAGGTTTCTCTCTCTCTCTCTCTCTCTCTCAATGGCCGTTTGGCGGTGGCGATGTCCTGTCGAAATGGCTAGCCATGCCATGCAGAGGATTATTGCCCCAGGGACGTCCGTTAGATTGGAGGTCTTGGTGGAGCCACTGAGGTGTTTTGGCCTCTAAGGCAGATGCTACTCTACGTGAGCATTTCCCTTCCGCCCCTGATGATTTGGCAGTATCAGCTTCTCCGCTTGATCGCTGAAGTGGAGCTGCGGTAATGGATAATAGAATTGCGGGCTCTTGTGTCCGCGGCTGGGGAATGCTGAAGAAGTATGAGGGGCAAGATAACAGCAGCGAGAGGGTGCCGGTAGTGCAGTGGTTAACGCATCTGCGTTAACCACTGCCCGTCTGGGAAACCAGAGGTACGGGGTTTGATTCCCCGCGGTGCCCGCCCTTCCTGCCCGGGTGAGAGGCAGGCGACGCCATATAGCCTCAGCAGCTGAGTGCGTCGTAAAGCCCCAATGACACAAACACACAGACACACAGCAGCGAGAATCCCTCAGTGACCAAAAGTTTACCTGCTCTAAGTTCCGATCTTCCTTTTCATGTCAGTTTCAAGCTGCTGTTTCTTTCTGGTATGGTTGCATCCATGCCTGCCGTTCTGTATTTCCTATCTGTGGCCGTGAAGGCGTGTCAATCAATCCTGTCGCACGATGACACTTATCCATGCATCATGTCACGGTCTTATCCCAGTCCGGCGTAACGAAGCACACCTAAGCCATTTTCCGAGCGGCATGTGCCCCACGAGAGTCACGAAATAGCAAGCTCAACACCGGCTCCCCAAACCGCCGTCACGCTACCGACTCTCCGCGAATGCTGCTCCCCGGACGCCAGGACTGTGTGGCCGCCTCCGCTGCCGCCACCGCCGCCGCCTCCCTCCGATCGCCTCCCTCCGACCGTCCGTTCGTTGCGGAGAGCCCCGTCTCCGTCCCCGGCCGCCCAGCGAACACGGCGCCGACAAATGAAGTGGACGATTCGTTCTGGTCGGCGCCGTGGGGCGGGCGGAGGCCCGGCCCCAGCGAGCGCTGGTCGTCACCGCTGCCCGCCGGCCGTTCCAGGAGCAGCGCAGCCAACGCGAGTCCGATGTGGAGCGGTTCCAGTCACTGGAAGAGGAGAACGGCACGCTCCTGTCACAGTTGAATGAGCTCAACAAACTAGTCCAGGTGTGTACATGTGCCAGCGAAGTGGCTAGTCCAGAGGTGAAATACCAGTCATGGAGTTTCCTCAGCTATAAACATACTCATTCACTTATCTGATCTCGAGAATTGTGAGCTAGTTGGCATCGGAGCTCCCCGTGAAGTGGTGCCATGCACAGTAAGCTGCACAGTAAGCTTAGTTGCCTGGATTGCGTGCACTGAGATGTTTGCCCCAGCGACGGGCTCAGCATGACGATCAGCGGAACCACATGCTGTGGCAATTAATGCGGCATTTTTAACCTTTGTTTGTTGAATATTTTGATGCATGGCGTTTGTGGTGTGATGATACCGAATTCAGAGATACCTCCTCCAGCCAAAACGGGCACGGTGAGCTTATTCAGTGCCCCTATTTTTAGAGAGCTTGTTACAAGGTGGCCTGCCTTAAAGGACCGTGACAAATGGTACTTTGCCAACCCATTGGACATGTTCGGGCGCCATTTGAGGCCTCTCAAGGGCTCCGCTGGCATGCGCGAACACAGGACCCGCGTGACTTAAACTGCGTCACTTCAAACGGTTTGCACACTTCAGCGTCCAACCACGTAGGCTCAAGCACTGAGCTCAGTCTAATCGTTTCAGAATGATTGCCGAAGTTTCAGTGGGCTGCATTTCCCGGGTTTTTCCAGTTGTGTTGTACGCCTCATGTTGAACGCCAATCGGATACCCGCAATATTTCAGGACCATAAGGAGATTCAGGAGCAGTTTGAGGAGAAGATCGAGGAGTGTGAACAGTTAGCTGAGAGCCTCCACATCAAGAATGAGCTGTGTGATGATCTGGTAAGTCGTAACCTTGCTCCTTCATCGCTTACCTGACACTCATGGTCAAATCACCGCATTAACTTGGCAAGACCTGGGTGCAGAAGGACAGTTACTATATATCGTCGCATTTGTTTGCACTGACTTAATGCCTATGTCAATTATCCTAAAGTATGCTAAGTTTGTCCTTAATCTTTCCATCTAGTGGTCACATATATTTGGATTGCGAAGGATGTGGACATGTGATGTGTGTGTTGTTGGTGCATACATAACCATACCGCATATATCCGTAGTGCGTAACCTTTTTTTATTTAACCTGACCTGGTGCTCTTTACGGTCATGCAACATGCATATTAATGAAACGTAAACGACCGCATGCGTTAATTGTTTAACAAGGAGGTCGTTCAGTTTGGTGGCGTGCGGGTATGCCAACCTTAAACAGGTCAGGTTCTATGCCAATTAATGCATGGATGGCGTGTTTTGTTACTAGTGATGCGCTGCAAGAACACTTAACGCTTTGGGAACGCATGCACTCACCCATGTTCGATCATACGTTAAAGCAGACAACATAATGGTTTGATTCGCATATGACTCGGTATTTGCTTGAGGCGGGTGTATACCATTCATGCACAAAATGCTGTCCTGAAGCCTCAAAATATTGTTGTTTATGGTATTGATGTGTGTTTGTTGTATAACAGACATGCAGCGTGAATGGGAATTGAAATCAGTCGATGCTCATGAGAACGGCTTGTACGTGTTCACCTCGCTCATCTGTTTTAACTAGCCTTGTTTACCAGACCACACAATTTATTCAGAAACTTCGAGCAAGACACAGCATGCATGAGACAGATGACAGTGTTATTCGTTGGTATGTATGGAATTTCGTCCACTTGTTTTTAATGCGGGGCCCCAATAGAATATGACAAATTAGTAGAGCGTCTTGCTGAAGCAAACACTTTTCGTGAAATGAGGAGATTCCTTGTTACCCCATGAGATTGAGATGGTGGACTGCAGTTTTGGGTGATCCTCCGTTCCGTCAGCTGCCATATATCGCCTGTATATTCGTTGTCATCTCCACTCTATCTGCCGTCTCCTATCTGACGTCATAAGCTCGGCGATCTCGTCAGATGCACGGCGCCGTTGCCATAAGTAAGCAATGCAATATTCAGGGATTATCAACGTTCATCTCCTCAGAGGTCGGGATTCCAACAGAGGGGCCGCTTTGCCACTGTCTGACAGACCACCTGGGCCAGCGAATAGTGTCGAAAGGCCGAGCCGGTCGGTGCGCTCCGGCCGCAGGGTGGCTACGCCAGCTTTCCACAAGAATGCTTCAGCCTCAGGGTGGCTACCCCAGCTCCCCATCGGTGTGCTCCGGCCGTAGGGTGGCTACCCCAGCTCCCCATCGGTGCGCTCCGGCCGTAGGGCTGCTACCCCAGCTTCCCATCGATGCGCTCCGACCTCAGGGTGGCTATCCCAGCTCCCCATCGATGCGCTCCGACCTCAGGGTGGCTACCCCAGCTCCCCATCGATGCGCTCCGACCTCAGGGTGGCTACCCCAGCTCCCCATCGATGCGCTCCGACCTCAGCATGGCTACCCCAGCTCCCCATCGGTGCGCTCCGACCTCAGGGTGGCTACCCCAGCTCCCCATCGATGCGCTCCGACCTCAGGGTGGCTACCCCAGCTCCCCATCGGTGCGCTCCGACCTCAGGGTGGCTACCCCATCTCCCCATCGATGCGCTCCGACCTCAGGGTGGCTACCCCAGCTCCCCATCGATGCACTCCGACCTCAGGGTGGCTACCCCAGCTCCCCATCGATGCGCTCCGGCCTCAGGGTGGCTACCCCAGCTCCCCATCGGTGCGCTCCGACCTCAGGGTGACTACCCCAGCTCCCCATCGCGTCTCCGCCAGCGGGAAATTCGCCGGGAAGTGGAGGCTGTCCGAACGTGACGCGCAGTGTGATAAATTGTGCTGCTCGGCCTATCACACTGCCAGTAAATCCGCTGTATCGCATCACCATATGAAATGAACCTCCCGAGCCCGAATGAGACTGCGAATTGTCGGTGAGCCGACCCTGGCAGCCGCCAACGGGCCGGCCGACCGGGCAGGCCTCCAGAACGAGAGCCATCCCGGGCGGTGGGACCTGCGCTGGTATACTGCGCCGCAGAGTCACCTGTGATTGCAACGCGCCGCGTGCGCTGGGCGACGAGTATGACCAGCTCGTGAGTGAAGAACGTGTGGCAGCACGCAGCGTGAACAAGCGGTCGACGAGCTTTTGATGCCAGGTGTTAACCCAGACTCTGCGTTTCAGGAGAAGCAGCTGACCCGTGTGATAGAGAAGAACACAGAGCTGACTATTCAGAACAGTGATCTTCAGCGACAAATACATGAGTTAGATAGCGTAAGTGGTGTGTCACCGTGGTTGATGTGTGAACAGCTTTAAATGTAAAGCTTTCCATGAAAGGAAGAAAGTGTTCGTGCAGAATGTATGCATGGCTATGTGAACTGCGTTTTCCACGCGACAGAGTTTCTGAGTGCAACGGCCCATGTGACGATTAGCTTTTGCCTCCTTGTGGGTTTACCTCCTTGTAGTGTGGCGGCCGGACTTCAACGGCAGGCTTGCAGTAGGGCCTTGCTGCTGTTAATCATGCCACTTTGTCCCAGCGCTCCGCCGCGGTTTCCCTTCTTCCCTGTTTCGTCGAAATTCATTCCTCTGCTCCACGCAGCCTAGATAAAGCATGGTATGCCGAATGTTTTGCGCAGATGGTTTTGTGTTCATAGTACATGCCATGCGGAGCTCGCTGTCTGTTCTCTGATCCCGCCGCCCGTCAGCGGCTTCAGTTTATGGGATCGTTTCGCTATGTCATTCTTATCAGACAACGCTGCGCAGGGTTTTGCAGACTGTGTCACACTCCGGCATGAACACACGGGCTAGTTTGGCCCCAGCTTCGCCAGTTGCAGCACATTTTTCTTTGTCAGTGGGGCAGAACTTGAACACGGCTGTCGGACCAGGCTGTTCACGTTTGACCAGTTGCCAGCAGACCTTTTCGATGGTGGGGAAAAACAGCAAAGTTCAATGGCAATGATGTTCAAAAACAATGCTCGCGCTGCGCCGCTGCTCCTGCTTCCAGATTAGAATCGCACGCACAGACTGGACGAGATACAGTCGTCCAGAGTGAGCCTTTTACGGGTCTAAGCGATGCGCTGTGTACTGACAAACTTTTAATTTACTTGATCCGTGCGTAGCCCAACCCACCACAAGTTCTTTGCCATTGAGTCGAGAAACTGCGTCCACTGGTGTTCACAGCCACTGATCCTCACTACTGCTGCGCTAGCTGATGTTATTTGGCACAATCTTTCGTCCGAGACGCAGACAGTGGCTGGAATATTATATCCACCGATATCAAAATTTGCAATCCACCTTTTCTTAGCTTGTACTAACCGGCCACTTTTCCAGCCCCTCCCAAACCGCATTCCTTCCGCGCGTCGTTAGCAAGAAGTCAAGCAAAATATTGCCACTCAAGAACAAAAACAATAGATGCTTGACTTTCCTCGCCATAAAACGGCTGTGATGTGGCTGGCTTCCTAGTTAGCATGCGTCAATGGCAACGTACGTGTTGTTTATAGCAATTGTGTGCCCTTTCGCGGCTTTTCAGCACGCACATTATTCATCAGATTTTATTGTTACAATCAAACAACGGATCCGTCCCATCGTGCGACCGTCGTTCTGGAGACCTCACGTTGTCTTTAAAGGTTTTCACTCCTGAATTTCAGAGTATTACACCGGAATGACGATTGCTCGGTTGATATTGCATGGAGCTGAAAAAACATACTTTACCGCGAAAGCAATTTTATCGTGTGAGATGATAAAAAACTGATCTACGAAATTATAAAATTGAGGACAATAGCACAGGCTGGTTTATAACAGTAGGGTACGGAATAAAAGTGTGATCTTAAAGCTAAAACAGACCTAGGAAACTAAACACTGTCATCATTGCTGTGTCAAGCTTATATAGGGTCGCAGAGTGCGACCCATGCGCCCACTTCGACAACACTACTGGGATTAGGCTTTTGGTTTGTATACTTCAGGCATTTTTTATTTTGGCTTGTGGCTTATGTTGGCTTTTTTTAAAGTTTAAGCGAGCAAGTTGTTTACTATGTTTGACTTTCTTTGCAGATAAGCTCGCAATGTGCTTCGCTAAAAGAAAGCTTGGACAACGTTGGAACTGAATATGAGTCTGCTAAATTTGAAGTTGAAAGTCTGAGGGAAAAGGTTTCAACCCTGGAGTCCGTACTAAAGGTAAGCTAAAGCAGACAATGGTTTAAATGCCCCCCCCCCCCCGCGTTCATAGAAAAACCTACCTGTGCCAAATTGAATGTGTACCGCGTGACGTCACAGAAGCTTGACCGTCTTCACCCGTGACGTTTGATAAGCATTACCGTCTCGTGCAGATGACCCATCAGTAAAGAACACGCCCGAACAAAGATGCGAGCTATATTGGGTGCAATAATGTATCTACGGTCAAACATCGAGCTCGTGGTCCCTGTCAGTACAAAACTGTCTTCGCAGCAAATGCGCGATGCTGCTGAGCGCAAAAAAGAGCTCGAAAAGCAGCACCAAGAGGCGCAGCAGCAGCTTCGCCAGAAGCAAGAAGAGATCCAGAAGCTCACCAAGGTCTCAGAGAGCGAGAAACAAGCGTCCATGGACACGATCCAGACGCTAGAGAGCAAGGTGAGTAGCAGACAGCATGACATAGGACAGTGGCAATTGTTTGCATATCCTTGCATCGTATTTCTTCGCGTTCAAAATTTCACATCGCAAACGCTCCAGGGCACCGAACTTCGTATTGGAAGAACTTGATTCCACTAGGGCTCGTCTTTGTCGACTGTCGCATAAGCAATGAGTCGTGCTGTGCAATAACAAAATAATGCAGTTAAATAAGTAATGAAATAATGCAATTAGGTGTAGGCAGTTCTACGTATCGCATCCCGTCGTGTGCGCAGTTGCTCTGGTCTCAGTTTTACGTTTCACTTTAATCTGCATGCGCAATGATTGATCATGCCGCAGTCCCTAGTGTGCCAAGGAATGCGACATTCTCCCATTCTGTACACACACACACACACACACACACACACACACACACACACACACACACACACACACACACACACACACCACGCACGCACGCACGCACGCACGCACGCACGCACGCACGCACGCACGCACGCACGCACGCACGCACGCACGCACGCACGCACGCACGCACGCACGCACGCACGCACGCACGCACGCACGCACGCACGCACGCACGCACGCACGCACGCACGCACGCACGCACGCACGCACGCACGCACGCACGCACGCACGCACGCACGCACGCACGCATACGCACGTACACGCACATGCACATGCACATGCATGCGCACGCGCACACTTTCGCACACGCACACGCACTTCGTGCTATGGATAACTACCGGTTAAGTTTTTAAACATTTCGAACGTTAATTTTGATAACCTCTGTTAGATTAAATTGCAGTTCTCAAGAAGGACCCAAGCACTCAAACAGCAATGGACTTCGCAGCAGACACCACTCACTGCCTTTCTAGCTGGGCAAAAGAAGGAAGCTATAGATACCCAAAAGGCATCATTAACATCACACACTGCGACCTACACATTCAGCATAGAAGAGGGCACTGCTGCATACCGCTGATCCAATCCCCGCGTGGTTTTGTCAGTGTCATGATCTTGTGTGTGTCATTTGTTTGCGATGTTGCGTCAGAGAGATAATTCAAATGCATGATTCATTTGTCTGTTTAGTACTAGTGAGTTGGCATGAATAAGTCATACTTCCCGGATGTGGAGTATGAATATGTGTGCAATGTCGTGCGTAGATGCTTGAAGAAGAGCGCTCTGGTGCGAGACCCTTGTCACGCTTCGGATATCATATTTCTTAGCACTTTCTCGTCGATTTACGGTAGTAGATGCTTTATATTTTTTTGTTTTTTAGGTGTTTTAGGTGAATTGGTTTTAAGCCTGTTCTGTATCGTGATGTTCATTTAACTCGTTGACTGAAGTCCTGTCATTTTGCCTGTTCTTTCCACTTGAGCAATTAGTATCCGCAGTGTTGATTTGAACGTTGTACGGCACCTTGATCTTAGAGGAACAACTTGAAGATAAAAATGTACATTTTTAGTACTTGAAGGTCACAGGCATTTGTATTTTCAGTGTAAGGGTTTTAACGTCCGCCTACGCTTGTGAGCCGTTGTTTGCGTCTAGGAGGCACAAAATCAAATTACTTCGCTACGTTTTCCATTTTTTCGTAGATTATTGAGTTGCCTTATTAACTGAATAATGTAGGTGCTTTGGGTGTACTGAACATTAGGTCATTAAGCTCTCTAGTACCCTACATTAATGTGATCAACTCATACGCAGCGCTAATTCAACTTGGGTCATGGAGAAGAATTAAGGACTTAAATCGATAACGTGCAACGCTGAGCCCTGGGATGACTTTAAAAGAAACAACAGTCATTGCTCCCATGTAATATAATAAAATGGGTCAAAAGGGTGCGGAGGGAGCCGTTAAGGTAAAACATTGTCCCCTCTTTGTCCTATTTTAACACAGCACGAAACCTATGGTTAATGTTCCTCGTATGGTCAAGAAAAAATGGGTTATTGTATCTGGACCATCTATTTTGCGTCTTAAAGTTCCCGGAGAATAATCGGCGTGGTCTTTTCCATCAGCATTCCCAGAAATAATTTAACATAACTTGTCATGGGTTGGCAGCCAGAGTAGTTGCCTGACGTAATTATAGTGAGCTGCACCTTTTTTGGTATGCAACGAACGTTGTGTGCTTACATGCCCACAATGACCTTCGCGGCCAGTTTTGCTCCCTGGTTGCGCTGCCTTCTGAGTTTGGTAGAGGTTTGTTCTCGCTTATGAATGCTGCTGTCGTGTTGCAGTGTTCACTGTCGTTCACTGTACGATATTAAGAGCCAGAAGCTGTTATTGATCCTCCGTCAGAGGGGGGGGGGGGGGGGGGAAAGGGCAGGTTATTTCAGGCTACCGCTTCACTACCAGGCCGGGTTTTCTGGTTATATACTGTCATCCCGAAAACAGTGTTTGCTGATTTCTTCATATATCAGTCATTTTGGTTTACAAAAGTCATGGAAAACAAACGGTTTCAACAAAGCAAATACCAATGGACCGCTTAAAAGCTAGAGACGGCACCCTCAGATCGTTTTTTTCTGATTTCATGCAAGCGAGGAAAGACGGGTCATCCTTTCCTCATAAAAGGATGAAGTAAGGTGACCGCATGTGTGCTGGTGTAAAGTTGTCGTTTTTTAATGATGAGTGAACGATGTGAGTCCTGCTGGTTCGCTGTTCAAGCCAGTGTGGGCTGCATATGCATCGATGCCTGCCATTTTACTGAGACTGTCTGGCAGATTCGGGAGCTGGAAAAGAAAGCCGAGGTACAAAGCTTACGGCACGAGGAGCTCATGCTCGAAATGTCCTCACTGAAGAAGCAGAGCAAATATAAACTCTCGCAGAATGGTAGCCCTGAGGGCACAATAACGCCAGGTAAGGGTATTTATCGTTTGTACCTCCACTATCGTGTGGCAACACTTATATCGTATGGGACCACCACTATCCGTCGTCAGCTGTCATTTTAAGCCGAAGCATTTGAACACCCTCGCAGTTATGTTTTCATATCCCCTTGCCCTATAGTATTATGCAAAGTTATGGCTTTGACACCGTGACTTTCCTCTTTCTGTCACCTCTTGAACATCTGAGATACACGAACAAATTATCATGTGGCTTCCCAGCCCTCTGTACGGGCTGCTGTGGGGGTGCCTCTACTGTCATAGTGGTGACCCTTTACAACGATAGTACTATAAAGCTGCCATGCTCACATATACCCCTGACTCTTTAACCAGCAGATATCTTGAATGATGCGTTTTCGTTTGGTTGGGACGCATTGCGAATTCAAACGCAACCGACTAATGGCAGAATGACAAAATTTGATCCCACAATCGCCAAATCTACAAAATGATGGTAACATGCTGCCTGTCAAACTGATGGTTGTGTTCTTGTAAATTTCTAGCTTTATTTTATCCTGCTTCGTTGATAACTCGTCGTTATGTAATTGTGTCTGTTTGGTCAAATATAAAGCGTCATCTGTCGACACGTCTGTGATCGGGCAAAGAAACCTCCAGACGCGTTGGGGAAGGGTGAGAAAAGGTTTTGAACATATGTTTCTCATGCACATCATAATGCTACATTTTTTCAATTTTCTAAGAACTGAGAAGTATTGGTACACTTCCCTCCGCCACCCCCTTATCTACAAGTGTACGCAACATCCTCTTGAGATCATTCTATGGACAGACCCGGCGCTCTAGAAAGATTAATGTTTGCTAGCTCCTGCTCTTGAGATGCATTTATCAATAGAACGGTTCAGCAGCAGGATCTGACGACTCTCCCTCCTTCTTGCTTGCTCGTTCTCCCTCTGACGACTTCCTAGCTGTTTGTATACTCCGGCCATGTGTGTCCTTGAATGGACTGCATGCCGTGGCCGCGTGAGACGTGACCAGCGGGTGCGGTGTGGTTCCGCCAGACTCGATGCTGCTGTCCACCGAGAGCACGGCGCGCTCCACCCCCATCGGCACAGCTGTCACGCCGGCCAGCCTGGAGGCGCTGCCCGAGGGCGACGAGACCACCTGTAAGCACCACCCCTCGCCCACGCACCCTCCACGCCGATGGCATGTGTGGGCCACGGAACTCAGCTCACCGACGACACGGACATCCCGGCGTCCCCCGCTCCGCTGCTAGTTCTGGTGACGGTCTTGGCTTCCCCTGCTTTAATGCACTCCTTCAGACCGAGATTCGGGTTGTCTGTTCTGCAGATCGTGTGGTGCAGTCGTATGCAAGTGGACATCAGGTGCAGATGCCGCTCGTATGATTCTGGTACGGCACATGTGAGCTAACACCAGATACTGTGAGCAAGTACCTCTGGACCGAACGCCAGTACAGGCGTGGGGTGTCTACCAGATGTGTTCTCTACCACTGTGTGCGAATGCAGGCGAAGACCTACGTCATCAGTCACGATCCGCGACTCCGGCCGTCCTTGCGCATGTCGCTCTGCCGCGCCCGGCCGGCCAGCTTGGCTCAGTTTGTCTCCTTTGCCCCCCCCCCCCCCCGCTCTTTGCCGCCTCCGCGAACCAGTGCTCCTCGGTCCTATTACAGAGCGGTGAGGCCGTGTTGCATTTCCACACCACAACCTCGAGAGAGAGAGAGAGAGAGAGAGAGAGAGAGAGAGAGAGAGAGAGAGAGAGAGAGAGAGAGAGAGAGAGAGAGAGAGAGAGAGAGAGAGAGGGAGAGAGAGAGAGAGAGAGAGAGAGAGAGAGAGAGAGAGGAGAGAGAGAGAGAGAGAGAGAGAGAGAGAGAGAGAGATAGAGAGAGAGAGAGAGATATAGAGAGAGAGAGAGAGAGAGAGAGAGAGAGAGATCCCTGTACAATTTTTTGCGGAACACGGAAGTGTAATATTTGTTCGCTATCTTCTTATGGTTTCACTCAATATTTCGTACGACATGCGGAGCTTCCCGTGTCAAAATCAAGCTAGCAAAGGACTTGTTCAAAGTTAGTTATTATGCTCCAGCATTTTGTTAAGCATAGGGTGTTATCAAGAAGGATATAGGATTATGATCTGATGCAAACATGACATCTGTCATGCAAGACATTGATGATAAAAGTTAACATTCGCTTAGTGGGTTCATATACTCGCTATATGAGATAAACGTAACACAGGGAGCAAAAACAGTAATGTTAACCTCACGTTTGACCCATAGATAAGACAGTAGTAATAGCCTTATTCCTCGGAGAAAAACCAGGAGAATGGAGATATAGGTGGGTTGATATTTCTGCAACATACCTTTATCGAAACAATAGCAGAAGTGAATTGAAATCTGCATTTTGTATAAATCATGTAGCGCATGTATGAACGTTTAAGCAAGGGTGAAGTTTGGACTGTCATTGATGAATTGTGACATATTTGCCATATCTGTATTACACCATAACTTAACTTGCCCTTTGATAATAGCCCATGTTTGACAAAATGGCGGAATACAGTGGCCAGTTTCGGACAAATTCTTTTCGAGCTTGAACATGACACGAGAAGCTGAGCATGGCATATTGAGCGAAAGGAGATAATGAACGCATATCACGCCGTCATGTTGGGTGTAAAGTTTTTACTAGGTCTGTTGCCCAAGTTTACAAAAGTACATATATATATATATATATATATATATATATATATATATATATATATATATATATTGACTATGCAGGTATTTGTGTACATTGTATCACACCATTTTAGTATTGCCGTGACATTAACCATATTTTATGATCATATTAGCATATACATTTATACAAAATTTGCCCAAATTCTTGCTACCTTATGTGGTTGTTGTATTTTGTCTGAGTTATGAGGAGAGCAGCCACCGACCAAAGAGGATGGACGTGTTCCAGTCTGGTCACAGCGGAGCACAGACATCCAGTTGCCGGTGCGGGCCTATGTGGGCCAGACGGCCGCCAGCTTAGAGATGGAAAAAGTCAGAGCACAAATCGAGAGTGGCACCAAATTCTTGGCCGAATTAGACAGCCGATACGCCCTAGGTAAGACGGCTACGGTGTTGTGATAGCATGCTCGTCATGTGATTTTGGTTCATCACAACGAGCCTTAAATGGATGGAACGCCACGGATGTGGTGTGATCAATGTTGCTTCTCCATTTACGTGTTATGTTGTTCATGTCTCGCCGAGCATAGGATAGTCTTTTTGGTTTTCAATGTCTGTTAAAAGTGGGAGTCAGTGATCTCATGGGTTGTTTTCCCGGACAAAAAAACAACACATGATCCTGGATTATTTCAGCTGTTTTTGCCAAACAGTAGTGCTGGTTTTCGAGATCGTCGCACTTTTGTTTGCTACTAGCTCGTCGTGTGCGAAATGCTGTTGTGAACAGTATTTTGTAAGTGGTGTGTGCGTTTTGCATGCCGTCACTTCTCCTCACATTCTTCTCGAGCTATGCTTCCGTCTTGTTCTGACGAATACGTTTTGTGTAGCGCCAGAATGGCTTCAATGGAGCTGACGAGCGTGTCGCTGCCTTTGGCCTGACTGTCGGGCCTGTCCGTGGCGCGGTCGTGGCTGTGTTGTGCTGCCGTGTGCGGGCGCTGGCGGCTTCTGACGGCGGCGGCTCGCCTCTGCCCCCGCAGGCCGACTCTGCCTGGTCTCGCCGCCGCGCCCGCGCCGCCGGCGGCCCGCCCCCCGCCGCCCGCCGCCGGCGGCCGAGCGACCGGCTCGCGCCCGCCAGCTACCCCGCCCGTGTCCGCCCCCGCCGCGCTCGGCCCCGGCCCCGGTCCCGGCCCCGGCCCTGGCCCCGGCCCCCGCCCCCCTCCAGGTGTACCTGAGCGTGCCCCCCGGCCGGCCGGCGCCTCGCTCGCGCCGATCCGCCCGCAGCGCAGGTGGGAGGCAGCCCGGCCCTGCGCGCCGCCGGCCCGGCCCAGCCGCCTCGCCGCCTCTTAGACAGAAGCTACGTAGCGTTGGCTAGCTGTTCACGTAGCCTGTTAAGCTTGCCTGGCACTTAGCTGCTTGGCGTTTAGGTAGCAGTTACTTTCGCTGGCTGGCCATTTGTCCGCATCCTGGGTTATGTTGCGATTTGCTTTGATTACGGCGTTTTTTAGGGTTATAGCGGGGAACAAAGAACTTGTTAGAGATGCATTGTTGTTCGCACCAAAAGCTACAGACCTCGGTAAGTGAACAGCTTAGTACGTAATGAAAAGTCAGAATGTTAGTACATTAAGACCGAACAGTCTACTAGTGAAGCCGATTACTTATTGTCACAGAAAGTGGTATAGTTGTAGCTAGATTAGCTTATAGGAGAGCATTATGACGATCAAAACAGGTGTGCTTCAAACAAGTAAGCCTATTTTTGCCTTTGACACAACATGTTTTTTATCCTTAAGGAGTGTTACTGTCATGCGATAAGATTAAAGATCTAAAACATTCCATCTAGGTTTGGTAATGGCTAACGAAAAGGGTGATCTACGTGGATGATGTGCTGCAACAAGTGGATGCCTTGTGCCTCCCGTCTCCCTGACAACCGAAGGTCCTGTTTGACTAACATGACAAGTGCTCGGTTCTTGTGACAGTGCGTTCTGGTAACCGCTTTTTGACAGCACGAACATAAATGTTTCGGAAGCTTTGACAGTTTAATCTTTACCAGTAATCTACCATTAAGTCCAGCGCTCGGAACTGGCGTCTTGGTACTGGAACGTGGAGCCCCAGCATCCCGTTATGTTTCTGCATCTCAGGACCTCTAGATCGGCCGCTGCACCAATGCTTAGGTCGGGACTTGGTTCTGCCGACACCTCCCCTGCTGCCTGTAATCTTACTATCTATGTCCGGCAACAACAACAACAACAAGACCAGCGAGGCGGCTCTAGTAGCGGTATTGGGCTAACTCTCGCCCGTCTGCCCGTCCTATGGCTGTACATTTGCGACGGTCGGTCTGGCCGGCCTCGGCCTTTCATCCTTGGCTCACCTCCAGCCGCTACCTTCTGAAACTTGCTGTCCCGCCCAGTGCTGCAGTAGTCACTCACCATCCTATCCGCTCCATTGCGACAGCAGTCCAGCCGACCCTCTGCTCCGCTGCAAAGCCGCAGTAGTCCAGCTGACCCTCGGCCCCGATGTGGCGCTGTAGCAGTCCAGCCGACCCTCCGTCCATGGACGTAACCTTCGCTGGGTCGCTGGGGTCCGGACCCAGTGTGTTTCGGGCAGATCGGACGATTTTTGTGCTTTGGACACATGAGATGTCACCAAAGTAGAAGTGCACCCCAGTACATTAAAGGCGTGGTTACGTCCACGCCTCTGCCTCGCTGCAGGGCCGCAGAATTCCGACTGACCCTTTGCCTGGCCGCAGGGCTAGCCAACTCGCAAGCCGGTAAGGGCCCGCCGCCGCCGCAGCCGGTGTACGTGAACTCGGGACTGGCGCCGATACCGGCCGGCTACGCACCGCTGGCGGCCGACCCGCGCCTGCAGGCGGCGCCGTTCGCTGCCGGCTACCCGGCGCTGCCGCCGCTGCCGGCCGGCTTCAGCCTGGAGCCGGGCCTGCGCGTGCTGCCAATGGCGGCCGGCGTACCGGCACAGGTCGCCGCCGTGCCGGCCGGACTCTACCACGACGGTGCGACCCCGGGGCGTGGTGGGCCGCGTGCTCGCTTGGTCCGCGTTCAGTGCCGCACTTGTTTTGAGATATCGCTTGGAACACACATTATATTTGGGTGAAAGTGATACTTGTGTGTGGTTTTACCACGCATTCGGTAATATGTGGGGCACTTCCGTCCGTCCGCGTCAGCCTGCGCGGCTCCGCGGCTTTTGAAGTGCGCATGCGCCGTCGGTGTTGCAGATAAGGCCGGCCTGATGAACGGCACGGTGCCCGGTCTGCTTCCGGCGAACCTGGCGCAGCAGCTGAGCGGCGGACAGCAGCCGGGCGTCGTGGACGTGCTGGACATCCCGGGCAAGGGCAAGTGTCAGGTCTTCATCGCCAGGTGAGCCTGGGAATGACCACGGCCGCGGAAGTATGACACACAGGGGCTGCGCCACCGACTGGGTAGTGGCGTATTCGAGGGGGAGGCACTGGGACACGTGTCCCGTCACAATTTGTAATTATGCGTACAACTGTCCGTGTGAGCAGTTCTTGACAATCAACAAAAAAAATTCGAACGCTCCCATTTGAGGGAGTGCTCCACAGTTGTATGGGGTTTTCAACTGAAATAGCCATCTTAAAAACCACTAGGTGACGCTCACAGCCCCGCTCTTCTTAAGACGTAAAACCCCCTGGTTTCTGAGTTACATGACCGTGACATGTGCATATTTTTCAGGGAGCCTATTTCAAGGTCATTTTGACATCCATGACGCCACAATTGCGTCATTGAAATCCTGTCATTCTATTAGCCTTGCGGCGATGAACGACAAAAAAGCATGATTGTCGAGTCGTTCATATCTGGCGTTCGTGGGCACTATTTCCAGATATAACAGCCGTTAATTGGCTCTCACCCAATGTTGCGCAAGATACGATGGCGAAATCAAACAATGGCATGTCAAGGAGCATGTTTACCAAGCATAGAAATGGTGTTGTCTAAAGCACTCTTTCCACTTAAAAGTATACCAATACTTATAAGTGAGCTAAGTGAGCTTCTTTCACCACATCTGATGTTTGCCTCAATATTTTGAAATGTGGAACATTCCCTTTAATGCAGGGTGATTTCCGTCCCAGCGAGGGGCCCCCTTATCCCAAGGCATGGCTATATATATATATATATATATATATATATATATATATATATATATATATATATATATATACATATATAATGTGTGTGTGTGTGTGTGTGTGTGTGTGTAGATGTATATATATCAGCCTTTTCATGACACCAATATCGTAATGGCTAATCAACTTTGGCCACCACTGTCTTACGATCCGTATGTGTCGTTTCCTCTCTATCATTTGAGGGTAGTCTTTATCTGTCAGCTTTCTGTCTGGTTGCTCTGTTCGTTCAATCAGCGAGCGCCTGGCAAGTGACAACTCCAGGGTGATGCCAGCCGTGCTGCTGCGTTCCGACCGATCGAGTAGGGCACAGCCTTCTACGCCATGTGTCTGAAGGCTGCCCGCCGTGTGACTGTCGGCCGCATGCCTTGTGTCTGTCGGCTGCCCGCCATATTTCTGTCGGCTGCCCGCTGCGTATTTGTCGGCTGCCTATAGTGCTACATGCATGTTGCCATTATTCAAGCGCTAATGGTGATCGACGTGGTTCGGCCCATATCTCACGGAACCCGGGCCCTGCGTCCAGACCCTGGCTGAACCGTTGACACAGCGTTGCCATCTACCGGCAGGTACTCTTACGATCCGTTCCAACACTCGCCGAACGAGGCGCCCGAGAGCGAGCTGCGCCTGAACGCTGGCGACTACGTGCTGGTATGGGGCGACATGGACGAGGATGGCTTCCTGGACGGCGAGACGCTGGACGGCCGGCGTGGCCTGGTGCCCTCCAACTTCGTCCAGAAGCTGGTGGGCGACGACCTGCTCGAGTTCCACCGCCAGGTGGTGGCCGGCCTGCTAGACTGCGACCAGACGTCCATCTCCACCTCCGTGCCGCACGACCTCGACTTCAACTCGGCGGACGAGGCATTCCTGAACAGCCTGGGTGAGCGGGGACGCCCGGCTCGGGGACGCCCGGGCTGTCTCTGTGAGAACTTGTTTTATGCGAGAGTGTGCTTCCTTTGCTCGCTCCTCTGTCCCTCTGTCTCTGTCCTGGTCTCTGTCTCTGTCTTGTCTCTCTGTCCCTCTGGCCAGCCTCTGTCTATGCTCTCCTCTAAACACCCTCTACAGAATACCCCCCCCCACCAATCCCTCTCTCTATATAGGTCCTCTCTCTCTCCCTTCTCTCTCTATCTCGACTTATCTTCTCTCTCTATCTTATCTCTCTATATCTCCTCTCTCTCTCTCTCTCTCTCTATCTCTCTTCTCTCTCTCTCTCTATCTCTCTCTCTCTCTCTCTCTATCTCTCTCTCTCTCTCTCTCTCTATCTCTCCTCTCCTCTCTCATCTCTCTCTCTCTCTCTCTTCTCTCTCTCTCTCTCTCTCTCTCTCTCTCTCTCTCTCTCTCTCTCCTCTTCTTCTCCTCTTTCCTCTCTCCCCCCTCTCTCTCTCTCTCTCTATCTCCTTCTCTCTCTCCCTCTTTCTCTTCCTCTCTGTCCCTCTCCCTCTCTGTCTTTCCGTCTCTCTGTCTCTCTGTCTGTCTATCTTTCGGTCTCTCCGTGTTGGCTGTGACTCTCATTGTTGCCTGTGGGCCTTGCTGATGCTGCGTGCTGTCCGGTGAGTGTCGGCTCGTCACTGTCCAGCCGCATCAGCTGTCTGTGCTGCCGAAGCCCGCGCGCTGGCCGATTGCAGAGAGCGATACATCGCTGGCTGCTGTGTGGGCCTGTCCGTGGGCTGTCCGGACGTGGCGTGGTCACGACCCTGCCTGAGAATGCCGCCGCCGTCCGCCGCCGGCGCCGCCGCGGCTGGTGCCGCCGGCCCTTCGTGTCACCAGAACGCTCCCGTGACGCGCCGGTTCTCTCCCGTAGCTCACTTGCGCTACAATGAGCACGGGGCTCGGATAAGGCGCAAAATGCCGGAGTTGCAGCGCGTGCAGTCGTGCAGGCCTCGTACGTCGGGTGGGCTTACTGTCCGCAGTAGCCCTCAGCTTTACCTCACATGGCTGACGTTTCCGGTTGCATTTCTGCCGACGTTTGCGTACTCACCTGCCTCAAAAACGCATGTTATTTTCACTCGTTCGTTTCCTGTTCCTTCTCTTTTCTGCCTGTTTACCTCTTCCGTTCGATTTTTCTTTCTTTGTGTCCTTTTTGTTCTGGTGCTGGACACTGTTTTGTTGTTTTTTTCACTTTTGTCTTATCCACATTTGTAATGCTCTTCAGCCGATACTTTGTCTCGTTTTGTTATTTCTTGGATGGCATGTCCTCGTCTATGGTTCCTGAATGCCCTCCCCCCCCCCCTGATCTTTCCCGTTTGCCTTCCATCCTAGTTCCGTTTACCTGTCTTACTTGTGTTTTCTCGTTTTGTATTTCCCTCGTTCTATTCCATCCTTTACATGCATTGTTGGCTGACTCCCAGCTATGCCTTGGCAACATTTATCTTTGCGCATGTATGTGAATGTTTGGATTGCACGTCGTGTGTTGATCACCTTCCACCAATCGCACTTCATTCATGCACTATCTGACCTCCTTTAGTTCCTCCCACTTCGTTACTTTAGTTACATGCGCAAATCTGGGCGCCTCAAGCGACTCAATACCTACAATTTTGGGGCGACATAACCAAAGGCAGGTCCCGTTTTGTCACTTTGCCTACCACTAGTTAGGTTGTTAATGTGAGGCATAACATTCGGAGCTGAAATTAATATCTTTGGTCAAACGATTATTAATGATAAGTGATATGACGATGATTTATTTCGTCACAAAAAACACACAAAGCTGGTTTCAAAGTGAGTGTGACAATCATGGGTTCTGATGTGTCGAGACACGGCAATTTTGGAGCGATGGGGCGGCCCCGACGTTTTCCTCAAATCTTCTCAAGACATCCTAACACTCAACGTAGAACATACGGCTCAAGACGCTTTTGATAAACAGGAATACCATCGTGGGCATTGATAAACAGCGTAAAACCGTCCTGAATGTGACAAGGTCACACTGCGTCAAGGTCAAACATGTTCGAGTTGTGATGTATATTTAACGAAGGCTCCCGATAACCCAAACAAAACGATTCTTTCAGATCGAATATGACACTAATAGTTTCTAATCTATTGGGAAGCGAAAATGTTGAGTCAGTGAGGTGGCTCCCACGACTTACTTTAAATTTTGTCACGACACCCTAAGGACAAAAACAGACAATCTGGCTATAGAAACCCTGGTTGGAATTAATAAACAGGGTAAAAACCGGTCCACAAAGAGGGCTGCCAAGGTCAAAGGTGACCAGAATAGACAAGACAAGACAAGGTGACCTGACAGGTTTAAAGTCAAACAGGTTAAGTCGGGTCACGTCAGGACGGTTTTTTTACCCGGTTTATCAATGTCCGCAATGCCGATGCTTCTTTAGCAATAGTTTTGGTGTCATATGTCTTATGTTAGGTGTTGGGGTGTTTTGCGGAGATCTGAGACAACCGTGGGGGCCGCCAATAGCCCCAACATTTCCGTTTCTTTAAAGGTCACATCTAAGGCCACATTCAGTTTGAAATCGGTATTGTATTTGGGTTTGGAGGACTCCCATTTGATGTACCTTTGCAGGTGTTGACTGCGTATATAAGTATAAGATTATGATGTGTGCACAAAATTTCTACGTTTTGATGTGTAATATGACATGTTTACTAAACACATCATTATTTTAGACGCCAGCATCACTTGCTCTATCACTGCACGAAATTCCATCGTAATTAAAGGGGCCCTCGATCCTTACCGAATCTTAGCTTACTCCCCGCCAAACACCTGTTACCTTCCGGTACGGTTTCTTAACAGCTTGTTGAGTTGGCTTGGACCGGAGAGAAACGTGGCAAATGAGCACGGTGGTCTGTATGGTGGCACACGATGTTTGTTTTTAGTCGTATGGCTTAAAGGGTCGGTTCAAACGACTTTTGTCCCGGTAGCGGCTCACTATCATACGAAGACAACACTTGGCGACTTCTGCAGAAAAGAGAGGATAAAGGTATGCAGTTTTAAATTGAAGGTCCTCAGCGAAAGTTCCAATAGACTACGGCCCAGGCTAGCTTTCAAGTTATATGTTTCATTGAAGGAAGACAGTCAAAAGTGAGGCCAGTGAGACGAAGCGGGCGATGTCACTCCTCCCCCTCGCTTTTGGTGGTTTCAACTGTAGCCTCGCTCACACAAGTCATACACGGAGTGATAATCGCAGAGGCTTACTGGTACATATTACTTTCCCCCCCCCCTTCTTGTCAAGAGATTTACGCTTCTCACTGGCTACTGAGCGATTTCGCGGAAATCTGGTCCAAGTTCGGGTATTCCTGGCGTAAGCCTTGCACTTCTTAAAACGGTCTGAATAAATTGAGCGAAGTACGTAAACTGTACAATATTGGTGTCAGGAGCTGCCCCAGACATTCTTGATTTACGTCCCTACACAATATTATTATAATAAATGGCGTTTTTGCTAACCCCCTAGTTATATATAAACCTTGAACAACAAAGCGTGGCTACCCAGACTCATCGCCACCTCTTCTATAGCAGCAAGCGCCTGGAGCTCGTCACTTCCGCGTATGGCTCGCTGAAGCAGTGCTACAGTTGCGACACCAAATAGCGCCATATCCCGCCGCGCCACTCAGAGATCTGTGAACTAGGCTTTTCTCGCTCAGCGAGGCCCACCTGGCTCCGGTGTCGCACCGGCATGACGTCACTACCACGCTGCAAACCACACAATGCTCACATAAGCACTGGGAGGTTTTGTTTTGCATTGCCTCCGTACGTTTCCAGATCAAAAAGACTTGTCTTTCGCTCAGCTTTGAGTCGTCATGGTCCGTAAAAAACGTAGATAATAAAATTAATAACTACGGGAAGCTTTGGTTGTTTCAAGGATGTCAAGTGAAAACAACTGTGCGCATCGCTATACGTACTTGCTGTGCCTGCCCACCGTACCTCCTGAATTAATGAAGTCGTCCGCCGGGATTGTCCATCTTGTGGAATCTTCTTTTCAACGTCATCATTGGCGGTTTTTCCACTGCCGCTCCAGTGTGTATAGGTGCATCTTTCTCGTTCCTCTACCTACCGAAGCAAACCGCTTCTTCAACGTTTATTGGGCCACAAAACGTCAACTTTATCTTGGCATTTGTGAAGACATCAGCTTCTGCGTGGTAGTTAGCAGGCTGAATAATTTACTAGTTCGATTTATGTTTGCATATCCTTTGCTTGATTTTACCGTGACTTGTTCTTAAACTTGTACTATGAGGTCGTAAAGGACGCTTAGTTTAGGCATGTAAACACAAAGTAACTTAGAGGCATGTTCCATATCTGTTTTACGCTCACCACAGAATAGTTACTCAGATGGCAGTTGGGCAGTGAGTTAACGAGTTTAGTTCGGTGTTTTAGCTCCATGTGCTCAGAGTAGCCTCACCGGCTGAGCGATTTTTGAAACGCGTTCCGCTTTGCAAACTGGGAACGCTTTGAAGTCAGAAGTGTTGTCCATGCGCTTCTCGATCGTCCTGCCGTCCGCCCAGTGCCGCCTGCTACCGCGCTGTGGCCGCGCTGTCGCCACGTGCAGCGCGCTGGCCAGGTACCTGCCGTGACGTCGGCGGCTGTACCGCAGACGAGTATGGCGGCCGCCGCGGCCCGGACGAGTACCCGCCGCCGCCGCAGTACGGCGGCTACCGGTATGAGGGTTCGGTATTCAGCGACGACGATGAAGAGGAGCACCCAGCCGGCACCGGTCAGAGCACAGGTGAGTGGCCGCTTGGCTGGCGTCGCGGACGGCTGTGAGGTGTTGTGGGGTTGCCGCGGCTGGCGCACAAGTGAGGGTCGGGTGAAGCGGCCGTGCTTTTGGCTGTCGGAAGACACACGCACATTGTATGTCAGGGTGGCCCGCAACTTGAGTACCTGACATGTAGACTTCGCCGGGCGTTGTGCGGGAGGTATTCTGTTGGTAAAAATTTATGATTTTCTGGAGAGATTCGAGCCTACAGATTCAGTTGTTTTCGATTCGCTTAACCTCGAGAGATTAGTGACTGAAATAGCAGCAACGTATTTCTGAGCGGGGAAGCGTTCTTCTCACGAGATCACGAATTATAGGTCAACCTTCTGAGTGTACCTTTCCCTGCCTCACACGAAACCTGTTGTCGAAAGATTATTTACACAGACGTGTATGATGGATATGTCCGACACACGCATAGCGCTCCTATGATGAGGTTTTGTGGAACACTGGATTGAAAATGATCAGCATGTTGTTGCATCGTGCATTCGTAAACAGCGTATTGTGATGGTTGAAATTTGTGCTTGTTTAACGTGGGACTGGTTTGTCCTTTGGGTGGCTATGCGTGGCGCAAATATGGCCAGATGCGGTAGTGAGTCCACAGTTTTCCCGCAGCAGCTAATCATGCATTTCACAACCGTACGCAGTTTATAGTAATACAGATCTTAGCAGAACAATATTCGTACTTGTCTTGTTTTGCTGCGCTGTGTGCAGCTGGAACCGAACTAGTATGACGGTACTCAGCATTCTACAGAGCAGACGAACGCCATGTTGTCAGGCATGAGCCGCTCCCACACGACCGGGTGCCGCCGGACTGGGCATAGTTAGATGTAGCTGAGGTGTCTGCAAAGGGATATGATGAGCAGCCCTGCGTCAGCCCTGAACACCGTCCTCAGTCAGCACCCGCCCCACTTAGATGCTCCGTACCGCGCCGCCATCTCGCGCGCCTCCCGCCTGACGGCCAGTTCTATCTCACCAACCAGAGCTCTTCTTCTCGGTGCTAGTGCCGCCGCCGCGCCAGCTCACGCTCGAGCGCCAGCTGAACAAGTCGATTGTGATTGGCTGGACGGCGCCGGAGGGCCCGCCCGGCGCCGTCGACTGCTACCACGTGTACGTGGACGGTCTGCTGCGCACCACGGTCAGGGCAACGGAGCGCACGTGCGCCCTCGTCGAGGGCGTCGACTCGACGCGGGTGAGTTGTCCAGCTGGCGTACTCAGTAATGTCGGGGGAGCTGGGCTTCGGTGTTTACTTTTGATTGATCGTATGGTCATACTTCCTCCGAAATGTAGATAAATATCACAGTCGGATGTTGTTATACAACAGATCCTGGTGCGGCTTGTGCCGGGCTGTCATGACGTCGTACTCGGGTTAATCGTCGTCGTCGTACCATTACCGCTCACTGCTGGCCGCCAGCTGTGCGAGAACACCGTGCGGCGGCTGCACACTTCTGCGCTGTATGCGCTTTGCGGTGATGGGCACAGGGTGGTGTGGTTAGCAGAGCAGTGTCATCTACCGAAACGGTCCAGAAGCTTACTTCATTTATCATATCTATATCGTATTTGGCAGGATGGTGATTTGACTCACGCGTTATTTACCACGTTTGAATTCAACGAGCCCTGACATCAGACAAGCCTTGACATCAGGCGAGTCTTGATATCAAAAGAGCCTTGACATCAAACGAGCTTTGACGTCAGACGAGCAGTGACATCAGACGAGCCTTGACATCATACGAGCCTTGACATCCGACCGTAGGCTGTTGATAAGTTGCACAATGGCCCCGTCCCTGTATGGCATTGCAACCCAGGGAGGACTGTGTGTCATCACATTACGTTGTGCGCCATTGTGCTATGACCGCTCGTGTCCCTGGCGGTCTCGACCCGGCTGTGACCTGAGTCATCGCTGACGGCCCTGTCTCCGGGGCTCCTCCGTGACTCTGCCCCCGTCGTCACCGTCAGCCACACCGGATCAGCGTGCGCTCCGTGACGCCTAACCGGCGCACTTCCCGTGACGCCGCCTGCACCATGCTGATCGGCAAGGACGTGCCACTGGCGCCGACCACCGTGCGCGCCACACACGTCACGTCCACGTCCGCCGTCATCTCGTGGATGCCGAGCAATAGCAACCACCAGCACACGGTGTGCGTCAACAGCGTGGAAGTGCGCACCGTCAAGCCAGGCGTGTACCGGCACACCATCACAGGTCAGTGGCACCACATCGTCACAGAGGAGCAGGTCACTGCTGGTCAGTGGCACCGCACCGTCACAGGGGAGCAGAACGCTGCTGGTCAGTGGTATTGCATCATCACGGGTCAGTGATATTGCACTATGGCAGATCTCTTGCACCGTACCATCACAGATCACTGGCAACATTACCATCACCGGTAAGTGCCACTGCACCAATGCGATAAGTGACCTGACCTTGAGGTTGACCTTGTGACCTCCCACTTGACCATGTCGCAGTCACGTTTGTACCTAACTCACGCCGTGTCTTCGTTTTCAGGCATATCTCCCAACACCACCTATCGGGCGAGCGTGAAGGTGAAGAACATCACCGCGCCGCAATTCTCCGGTCGAAATTCGAAGCACCAGGAGCGCCTGGCCACCCACATCGAGTTCAGAACTCTTCCCAAAGGTCAGCTGCCGCCAGCGGCACTCGATGGCCGTTTGAATTACGTCGTATGGGCCAAAATGGAAGGCGTGCCAGGCTTCCGTGCGGGGCTTGGATGCAAATTGCGATGGTATTGAGGCCGTTTCTAATTTGGGAGCGCCTGCAGAGGTCGTAAAATGCGCTCTCGAGAAGTTGTGTGGCTCGTGGGTTTCCTTGCGGGGTCCATCAGGCCCTGTTCATCATTTAAGACTCACATGATAGTTATAGGTCTTACCGTCGCCCTGATGCCGTCCCCATCGCGGTCCTGGTGTGGGTGGAAGTCCATGCGACCCTCCACGTTAAGGTTTTCTGAGCATATCTCTCCATTTGTGCCCACATTTTCAGTATCATCTGGGGCATTTACTACGCATGTTTTGACATCAAAAATATGCCTCCAGCACTTCTGGTTCTTGGGAGCGACTATTTTTTGTAAGAACGCTGCCAGTGATCTACGGCCGGCGCGGGCAGCGGGCGACAACCGGCAAATTAGCTGGTTGCACGTGCCGGGCCAGCACTTTTACTTTAACGAAGCCCCACATTGTCTATTTGTGTTTAAAAAACACAAAACCACTTATTAATGTGCCCAGAATTGAACAAGAATGTGTGTGTGTGTGTGTGTGTGTGTGTGTGTGTGTGTGTGTGTGTGTGTGTGTGTGTGTGTGTGTGTGTGTGTGTGTGTGTGTGTGTGTGTGTGTGTGCGTGCGTGCGTGCGTGCGTGCGTGCGTGCGTGCGTGCGTGCGTGCGTGCGTGCGTGCGTGCGTGCGTGCGTGCGTGCGTGCGTGCGTGCGTGCGTGCGTGCGTGCGTGCGTGCGTGCGTGCGTGTGTGTGTGTGTGTGTGTGTGTGTGTGTGTGTGTGTGTGTGTGTGTGTGTGTGTGTGTGTGTGTGTGTGTGTGTGTGTGTGTGTGTGTGTGTGTGTGTGTGTGTGTGATGTTTCTACGTGATATGGGCTGATGAATAACGGCATGTAAAGCTGAAAAAGTCTGATTTTCAGGAAATTTTGCTTTTGATTGAACCTTTCATCTGCCGTAATAGGATAGATTTTGTACCTAGCAACACAAAACGGATTGTGATCGCGAGATCCCACTGAGCCGAATTCACTTTTTCCGTGAGGCTTTATCTTTCTTAGTTTGAAAACGCCAGTGGAGGTCACATCCCCCTCCCGCAACCCCCATATCAGTCCGCGTGATGGAAAACGGCGAATCAGGGTGAGGATTTAAGGGGCGCCCTTAGTTTCGACCGGATGAAGTCCGGTCGAAACTAAGGGCGCCCCTATATTTTTTTCCACGAATTATTTACGTAAGATTTGAATGAATGTGCTATCCCTTTAGACAGACTGTGTCCAGAGTTCTGTTGTTTGTCAGGGCTTTCGGGCACGCCGACTGCAGTGGTCATTTGGCGCCCACGTGTCTAGAGTGCATCACTCATGTCATACGTCCCTCTTTCCTTGCTGCAAAGGCTGGAAAGGTAAGCCCAAACGTGGCTAGGCGTTCCTGAGCCAGTGTCGGCGTATGGCGGGCACGCTTGTCGTGTCGGCGTATGGCGGGCATGCTTGTGGGCTATGTATGGACTGCTCGGTTAATCAAAGTGCTAGGTTACGGTTCAAATTATTCGGGACGCAATTCTCAGCATAAGTCTGAAACGATGTGTACAGTTTTGCTAAGCCAATTCAGCACAGCGTACGGTGCATATCAGTCTATTGCTTTCCAATGCAGTGTATTTGGGTTTTGACCCCAACAGCCTGTCATATTTTCATTACAAAACATTCCTCTCCCTATCGATGGAAACAAATTTCTGTTACTGTTTGGCAGCGACTACCAGCGTTGTATTTACATAAGTTCAAGCGAGACCAAACCAACCACAAAAGCCTGTCGCCGAAGCGAGCCGAACCCCTGCCGAAATTCCGTGGTCGATCAGTGGGAGACTGCAGGCTGACGCCGATCTATTCCGGTCGCGGCGTGGCCATTTCACGGTATCCCCGGCCGCCCGCGGCCGCCGATCGAAGCCAGGCCCGTCCGGCTGATGATGAGCCGTCGCCCGCGCCACACGGCCTGGCTCTATTTGTGGCGCGCTGGGGGCGCCTGGGCCGCCCGATGGCTGCCGCAGGGTCGGCACCGGCTCTCCAGTGGAGGGGGGGGGGCTACGGTCCGGCGCTGGTGGGCTCACCGATTCGTCGGGGCGATCTCGGCCGTTCTCTGGTGCCTTGTCGGGACGGGCTCTGATGTGCAGCCCAGCACACGACAGCAGGCGGGCAACGAGGCGGTCCGACGGACCCGTATGCATGTGCATGTGCGTGTGCGTGTGTGTTTGCGTGCGTACATGTGTGCGTGCGTGCATGTGTGTGTGTGTGTGTGTGTGTGTGTGTCTGTGTGTGTGTGTGTGTGTGTGTGTGTGCGTGCGTGCGTGCGTGCGTGCGTGCGTGCGTGCGTGCGTGTGTGTGTGTGTGTGTGTGTGTGTGTGTGTGTGTGTGTGTGTGTGTGTGTGTGTGTGTGTGTGTGTGTGTGTGTGTGTGTGTGTGTGTGTGTGTGTGTGTGTGTGTGTGTGTGTGTGTGTGTGTGTGTGTGTGTGTGTGTGTGTGTGTGTCTGCGCTGGTGGGTGACTGTGTGTTGGTGCGGGGCTGTGACGGTGTATGTGTGCGCTGGTGGGCGGGTGTGTGCGGGTGTGGCGCTGTGACGGCGTGTGTGTGTGTGTGTGTCTGTGCCGGTGGGTGTGTGTGTGTGGATGTGGGGCTGTGATGGCGTGTGTGGCCGCGTCGCCAGGCGTGCCCGACCCGCCGGTGGACGTGCAGTGCGAGCTGGGGCCGCAGGAGGGCAGCTTACTCGTCACCTGGCTCCCGGTCACCATCAACTCCACCTCCGGCACCAGCAACGGCGCGCCCGTCACCGGATACGCCGTCTACGCCGACGGCAAGAAGGTCACCGAGCTCGGCTCGCCCACTGGTGGGTCTGCGACCTGAGGTCACGGGGCGGGCTGGCGCTCAGGCTGGTGTGGTTGGCGCGACCTAGCCTGCGTCGCCAAGCGGGGCTTCCCCCCCCCCTCCCCCCCCACACAGTTGGTTCCTGTGTTATAATGGCTGACCTGAGATCACTGACCGAGATCACTCACATAGTGTCGTCCATGTGGCAGCGAGCGAACTTTGACCATGGGATCAGAGCCTGTCTCAATGGTGTGGCCGAAGCCGTGGTGGTGACAGTGGCGTCATGGATCGTCGCCAAGCAGGCCTTGCTTAAATTGGCTAATATGCCTGGCTGGATCCTGGGCAGGGACCGATTGTATAGCTAAGGCAGTAGCTAGGTAGACCGATAGCTAAGGCAGTCTGATGGAAGCGTGGGGAGTCTTCCGAGCTTCACGACGGCCAGCTGGATTTGTTCTGACTGCATTGGGCACTTAAAGGCGAGCTGACTCTGAGGCCCTGGTAATCCATGACCTGTTAAAGCAACACGGAAAAAACATTCAATGATAGTTCGAGTACTGCTCGCAAACTGCGTCGCAAAAGAAAGTAATATAAGCAGTATGCACTTACACGCATATACATATATATATATATATATATATATATATATATATATATATATATATGCGTGTGTGTGTTCTGTCCGTAAATCTGCCTACTTCGACTGACCGGGGCACTCGCCGTCTTACGAAGCTCTGTTATGAGAGCATGTCGCAGTAATGAGATGTCCCGGCCCCGTGGGACCCCGCTTTAACGGCCCAATGTCGACAGACACGCCGCCCACGTCACCGCCCACACCGCCCGCCGTGCACAAATTAAGAGGGAGGGCACGACTGAATTTAACTGGCACTACCGTCAGGTCAAAGGTCACGTGGATATTAATTTGCTGGTGGGCTGGGCTGAATAGTTTTCCAGAGGCGAGTCCAGCTGGCGGGTAAGAGACGGGCTGATGGAATGTGAACAGCTAGGTCTAGTTTTAGGCCTGCCTACGCTTTGGTTGAGTCTCAAGCAATTGAATAACGACAATAATGACAACAAGATTGATCAGACAACATTAGAACTCACTAGTTCGTCCAAGTCCATTTAGGTGTCGCAAACTTCAAGCAGTTGAGGGAGTTGGCAATGCCGTCCTTCTCACAGGATACCAACCTAGGTCGGTGTTGATCACGGGTTGTAACCTCACGCACTTAAAAAGCTAGCCACCATTTCCCTTCTGCTTGGCTGGACACGTTCCTCGTTCAGTGTCTTCATACGATCGAGGAAACACCGAAACGTCTCTGGACGGACGGCGTCTAGCTCCGTAAAGCTCGCGCCGCTGCAGCTACCGACGCATCGCGGTGTTTCTCCCGGTGAGCACGGCCACTGGTCGGACCACGAGATGGCAGTCTCCGCCCGTCACGTCCCGCTGCCGCTGGCTGGACCACCAGATGGCGGCCGCCGACCGTCGCGTCCCGTGGCCGCTGGCCGGACCATGAGATGGCCGCCGCCACCCGTCACGTGGCCGCTGGCCGGACCATGAGATGGCGGCCTCCGCCCGTCACGTGGCCGCTGACTGGACCATGAGATGGCGGCCTCCGCCCGTCACGTCCCGTGGCCGCTGGCCGGACCATGAGATGGCTGCCGCCACCCGTCACGTGGCCGCTGACTGGACCATGAGATGGCGGCCTCCGCCCGTCACGTCCCCGTGACCGCTGGCCGGACCATGAGATGGCCGCCGCCACCCGTCACGCGGTCGCTGGCTGGACCACGAGATGGCGGCCTCCGCCCGTCACGTCCCGTGACCGCTGGCTGGACCGTGAGATGGCTGCCGCCACCTGTCACGTGGCCACTGACTGGACCATGAGATGGCGGCCTCCGCCCGTCACGTCCCGGGACCGCTGGCTGGACCATGAGATGGCCGCCGCCACCCGTCACGCGGCCGCTGGCGGCGCTCATCAGAGGTCGTCCGCTGAGATGGAGCGACGCTACACCTTCCGTTTTCCTATCGACCGGCCAGAGCGGCAGTAACGATCGGCCGGCGCCGGCTGGGCGGCGGCAGCGGCGCCGGCCCGACAGCGGCAACAGCGCCGACGATCCGCCCCCAGTCGCCGCCCGGGCCGCGACGCAGCGCCGCTAGTGCGGCCCGCTGGGCTCCCGGCCAGGCTGTGCAGGCTCTCGTGGTACGGGCCGGGTTGTGAGGGCCCTGGGTTCCGGATCAAGTCGTGCGGGGCCCTGTGGATCCGGGTCAGGCTGTACTGGGCACTCTGGTCTGGTTCAGTTTGTGTGTAGTCCTGTGGTTCCGGGTCGGGCCGTGTGTGGTCCTGTGGTCTGGGTAAAGCTGCGTGTAGTCCTGTGGCCTGGGTCGGGCTGTGTGTGATCCTGTGGCGCGGATCAGACTATATGTGGTCCTGTGGTCTGGGTCAGGCTGTGTGGGGTTCTGTGATGTGGATCAGGCTGTGCAGGGTCCCGTGGTACCGGCCAGGCTGGGCGTGTTCCTGTAGTTCCGGGTCAGGCTGTGTGTGGCCCTGCGGTCTGGGTCAGGCTGTTTGTGGTCCTGTGATCTGGGTCTGGCTGTGGGGGCTCCCGTGTTCTTGGCCCGCCTTAGCAGGGTGATGCTGCATTGTCAGACCAGACAATTGTTTTGGTCTGATCAGACTCTGTCATTTGCTGTTCTGGTTATTGTAGTAGGACTATCTAGTCTGAGTTTCCGAGTGCACCTCAGATGGCTGCCCAGATTTGGTCGGCTGCAGGTATTGTGGTGTGGGTGCCGTATTTCTGGTGTCGACCTGACCCAGGCTGTGGGTACCGTGCTGCTGGTGTCGACCTGACCCGGGCCGTGGGTGTCGGGCTGCTGGTGTCGCCCTGAACCAGGCCGGGTCGCCCTGCATGTGGTACTAAGGCCATCGAGAACACAGCCCTGCCGTCGGGAGCCGCAGCTCGGCCCATCTTGACCGTCCCTGAGCCCTCGTCGGTAACCGCGCTCGTCACCGCCCCTCTGACCGCCCCCGTGACCGCCCCTTTGATCGTCCTGTGACCGCTGCTCTGATCGCTGCTTTGACCACCCCTCTGACCGCGCCTCTGACCGTCCCTCTGATCGCCCCTCTGACCGCCCCTCTCAACGTTTGTTGCCTCGTTCGCCAGGCGACCACGCGCTGATTGAGCTGAACAACATCTACGGCTTCCACCCGCGCCAGGTGACCGTGCGCACCAAGTCTCGGGACTTGGTGTCGGCCGACTCAGTGCCCTGCCCGATCCCGCAGCGCAGCCAGAGGAAGGTGAGCGTGCACGCCGGGGTGCCGGGGTGCCGGAGTGCGCATGCGCGGCTGGGACGACCCGGCGATGGGCGGAGGCTAGTGGTGTCCTGTCACCCTGGCCTTCTGCCGAACAGGCTGGAGTAGCCGTGATCTAGAGTGGTGGATGTCAGTTATTTCTGTGTTATATATATATATATATATATATATATATATATATGTGTGTATATGTGTATATGTATATATATGTACATATAGACATGTGTGTTTTGTGTATATATATATATATATATATATATATATATGTTTTCTATTTGCTTTGTTTTCGCGAAACTGGTGTACGAGCTCAGAATGGACGGATGCATGCGGAATCAATTTACGATCCCGACTTTCGTCAGTGACTTACACATGCCAACTAAAGCAGACCTCGGAATGCCTCGGAACAGTAGCTTTGATGGCACTGGCAGTACTTGGTCGGAATTTTGAAAATCATTTTTCGGGGATGCAAGCTGCTAAGCCGGGTGAAAATGGCTAAAAGTACGGTCAGTTATGTACTAAGTCTAATTCCTCTGCGGGCTTTCTCCACGTTCTTTCGATTTTTTGGGGTCTGGTTACTTTCTGCACCCGGCACTCTGAACTCCACGCTCGGCACGAGGGGAGGAGAGGGCAGGGCTGCAGCCCCTCCAACAAAACTACACCCCTGTTAGCTTTGCCGTCGCCTGCTGTTGGAATGTGTTCGGCGGCTTCAGATCTTGCTCGAGTGTTGTCCCCGTGAGTGTGTGTTGTGTGGTGTACAGTCTGCGGTGTAGCATTGTGCAGCATCCGGTGTGCTCCTGCTGCCGGCGCGGGCCCAGGGGTGTCCAGTGCCGGGCATGTGGCGCCGGTTCACTGGCGAGCATGTCAGCGGCCGCGGCTGCTCGCTGCATGTCTGTGTCCGCGGTCTAGCAGGGGGACGGCGGCCCGCCGCCGCCGCCGCCGCCGCCGCCGCCGCCCGACCCAGAGCTGTACGACATCCTGGCGCACACGGCCGAGTCGCTGCCGCGGCCGCCTCCCAACTTCAGTAGTCAGGTGGGTGACGGCGTCCGTAGACGTCACGGTCGCCCCCCATCTTCACTAGTCAGGCAGGTGATGGCTTTCGTGACAGTCACGGCGCCCCCGGCCCAACTCACAGCCCGCGGTCGGCCGATCCGCCGCCCCGTCTTCTGAGCATAAGCACCGACCTGACAGCACGGCACCGGCTATATTTTACTGATCTGTCTGTGGTTTAGTTTGTTTGTGTTATCAGATACAAGGTTCTGTGACAAGAAATTTGCATAGACTGTTTGGTTTGCCGATTTTGTTAACCACGTCTTTGCTTTATGCATTTTTTGTTTGTTTTTTTGTTTTTCTGGCGCGTGTATCTGGGTGTGGTTTCACTTGATTTTATTGTGGTTGCTAAGCGCTCATTACATCCTACTAGCAATCAGATACCCGTGCTTTTTAAGTTCACTTCCAGTTTTGCTTTGATTGGTTTCTTACATTGGGATCAGTTTGTCGTTGTACACTTGTTTTATGCTGTTCTTTTTGCATTTAACCTGACTGACTCGCACTCCGCGCCACAGTATACAGACTACGAGACCGACGAGCTTTCGGACATTCCGGAAGAGGCTGAGAACGATCTGTCGGACGCGGTAAGTCCGGCTCCCCCCCTCCCCCATCCCGGCCATGGCACACGACCCCACCCCCACCCCCCACCCCCACCCGTTACCAGTGCCACCCGCTCGGAAGCCTCAGCCAAGGATGTATGCGTGTGTGTGGGCAATGTGGCGCGGCGTGCTTACGTATAAGTGGAGGGCAGGATATATCGAACCACTACATTAAATCCAAAAATATTTCCGAAGTGCTGGTGCACCTGGTGCATGAAGCTATCAATATTACTTCACTGCCCCTTGATACACCGAGGGTCGATTATTTTTAAACGTCCATCCCCATAGCTCAGTTGGTTAGAGCGCCTGCCCTCCGATTCACCCAGCAATGGCACGGTGGGTTCGAGTCGCTTTAAGCGCTTGTTACTTGTCCTCAACAGATATGGCCCGCGGCTAGTGTCAGCGGCCGTGCTTAAGGTCAGGTGACAGCAGAGGGCGAAACGGGCCGAGCATTGCGGCGCCAAATTCTGTTGTTGACCTGGAATTGCGCGATGGGATGGTACGGATCATGACTCATACAACGAGCACTGCTTAGGGTGAGTTCTGATCCCAGAAATTCATCCATTGAAAAGGTTGAGATAGTTTTGTGAAAGTTTTATGTAAGAAAAAACACGAGAACTAACTAAACGGTTGACAATGCCCCCCCCCCCCCTTCCACCGACCTCACCCACCACACCCCACACACGCATACATACTACGTCAAATGGGCGCTTTCCACTTCATATTTTACATATAACACATATGAACATACTTAAGACGTGGGCAGGGACTTCTCAGCGAGGCAACCTTTTCCTGTTCGCTGTATGCTGCGACTGTTGAATGGGTGTAAATATGATACTAATACTTTTCGTTACGAGGTCACTGGCCGTCCTCAAGCATGCCACGATTGGATTGGAGTTTTTGCATGGAGTAGCTTGCATCGCAAGGAAGCTGAGTGTGTTACCATATGCTAACAAAAACGTTCGTCTCGGTTCGTTCGTAATTCGTTGTGATTACGACATGGCAAATCCCGTAATCACGTCTGCCGTTTTTGTTTAGTCAGCGTTTATTTTACAACTACCGCCACCACGGTTTCGGTTGCTAAGGTAAGCATTATGGATATACATGGTACTGTAAATGTCAACTTAACCGTTGCCTGGTAATAAGTGATGACAATCATGTCAGTCAATCGTTGGCAGAAAATCAGTCAGTGACAATCTTGTGGGCACATAGGGTTAGGCATAGGGCATGTTGCATCACTGATACCACATTGTCCATGCACAGTTGATGCAACATGCACCGACCGACATCTTGGAAGAGTATTCACCTGGTGCATTTTTTACAATGTTCTACGTCTGCCGCATTTAAAGATGCGGCGACTGATCTTTGTCGAAGCGCACGCTCAGAAACGTTTTCTTGTACACTTTACAATAGGAGCTGCGCTTCTGAGGTAGTTCTCCCCGTTGAGCTCTCAGTCTCAGCGTGCCTTGTCCGTTTGCCGTCCAGCTGTCTGCGCGCGTCGGTGGGCAGTGACTGCACGCGTCCGCACACCCTCTGTCGGTAGGAGGCGCCGATGGAGCAGCCGCGCTCGAAGGCGCAGCATGAGGCGCAGCACGAGACGCCGGGCTCCGCGCACTCCTCACCGCTCGCCGGCCGGCGCCGCATGCCGCCGACGGTGGCGCCGCCGCGCGGCGCGCAGTACAACCAACAGGTGTTGGAGACCGAGGACAACCTGAGCGACAAAGAGGTCTACCCTAGCGGCTACATGTCCATACCGCAGATCGGTGAGGCTTCGGCGCGATGGCTGTCGGCACGCTCAGAACGACGCTGGTCTTTGTGCGCTCAAAATCGGGATCAGCTAATCCCTGGGGCCAAAACTGCTAGCGACAGCTGCTGAATGGATTCTGCGCTAAAGCCCATCAGCTACTGAGAAAGTGGGTTATGTTGATGGGGGGTTTGGGTAATACACACGCTGATGTAAAGTGCTATTTGCAACTGCAGGATAGATGGGTTACACAGGAACCTCGAACCAGAAAGTGCATCGTTCAAAGGCAGGAAATAAGTTATAGTTGTCATACGTTGTTCAATAAGCACGCCTGCATGGCTATGGGGCCATGCAGCTTGTGTGGGTGCACTTTCTAGCTTTTACCCAGTGGAAATAGGTGTAAGTTACAGCAGTACCGGTGGGCATTTCAGAGATCACCAAGGACTCGGCGAGCGAGGGCCGCTGCTCGGTGGAGTTCAGCGAGGAGGATAGCGACCAGCGGGGCCTGCGGGGCCGGCGGCGACCTCCCGCGGAGCGAGCCCGGCAGCCGCCGCCAGAGCCGGGCAGGGAGCCGCGCCCGTCGCCCCGGCACCGGCCCGACAACTACCGCAACCAGGCCAACTACGCTGCAGGTGGGTTTAAGCAGGTGGACAAGGTCAGCTGGTCAGCTGGGTCACACTGGGTGGACAGGGTCAACTGCTCAGCTGGGTCACACTGGGTGGGCAGGGTCAACTGCTCAGCTGGATCATACTGGGTGGACAGGGTCAACTGCTCAGCTGGGTCACACTGGGTGGGCAGGGTCAACTGCTCAGCTGGGTCATACCGGGTGGACAGGGTCAACTGCTCAGCTGGATCACACTGGGTGGGCAGGGTCTGCTGCTCAGCTGGGTCACACTGTGTGGACAATGTGAGCTGCTCAGCTGGATCACACTGGAGCCTGTCCAGCATAAATCCGGGCAAAGAGTTGTTCAGCGTTCCCGGGCGGGTGCTTGTGACCTTTAAACCCCGACATAGGGCATACACAGACAATCTGTTTTATCAAACCGCAGGACGATTCTTTATTGTCCTCTGTAATATCGCTAGACACAGATGGGGTGCTGGTAGTGTAGTGGTTAACGCGTCTGCTGTAACCACTGCGCGTCTGGGAGACCAGAGGTATGGGGTTCGGTTCCCCGCGGTGCCCTCACTCCCTGCCAGGGTGAGAGGCAGGCGACGCCATATAGTCTCAGCGGCTGAGTGCTTCTTAAAGCCCCAATGACACACACACACACACATGCTAGACACAGATATGAAATATGTCGTATGGCCAAGTCCATGCATTTTTTCAAACTTAAGCTATAATTCCTGCTCTTCACAGACTGCCATCATGAAATCCACTAACTTTCCAGACGTGGCCGAGTGCTTCCTAAACTTCCCGTGTATGGGCTCCAGCTGGTAATTTTGGCCACAAAGGTGATCCTATTTCCAGCCCTGGCTGACATATTTCACTGCCCATTTGGCCGAGTGGTGGAAACTTTCGTCTAGAAATACCCGCTCGGTCATGAGGTGCTTTGACAGCTCACGCGACCGATGTCCCTGCCGTATGTCGGCACGGCAGGGCTATCGGTCCGGGCTTGGTGGCTTGCCGCGTGGTATAAATCCGTGCCCACTGCGTGGCACCACTGTACCCTGATCAGCTTGACTTGCCGCGTGGGATGAACCCCTTGGTCGTGATTGGCTTCACCTGCCACGTAGGATCCACCCCTTGCTCGTGATTGGCTTCACCTGCCGCGTTGGATGTATCCCTTGGCCCTGACTGGCTTCACCTGCCGCGTTGGATCCACCCCTTGGTCCTGATTGGCTTAGACTGACGCATGGGATCCACCCCTTGGCCTTAATAGGCTTGACCTGCCACGTGGGATTCAGCCCTGGGCCCTGATTGGCTTGACCTATTGCATAGGATCTAGTCCTGGGTTCTGATCGGCTTGATCCGCTACGTGGAATCCATCCATTGGTCCTGATCGGCTTTTGGCTGGTCTACCTGAAGACTCACAGAAATTCGTCGGTGGCCACCGACCTTTTTGACCTGCCCGTTCCATGTGCTGATAATTACGGGGCAGTGACAGTCATTGGCAAGATGTGTCCCCTGTTGACGAGGTTCTCACCGGGCTGGGCCGCCAGGTCTGGTCCGCTGGGTCACGTACCAGCAGGGCACCGGTTAGGTCGCTCCTTGGTAGTATGACGTGACCCCTCCGTGCCGGCAGGGTACCGTACCGAGCCCGGGCAGGGCTCGTCGTCGGCAGCGGGGCCGCCCCCGCCGCGCCGCGCCGCCGCCGCCGGCGGAGGACGGGAGGAGCGCATGCGCATCTTCGTAGCCCTGTTTGACTACGACCCGCCCACCATGTCACCAAACCCTGACGCCTGCGATGAGGAGCTACCCTTCAGAGAAGGCCAGCTCATCAAGGTTTGTGCCCGCGGGCCCGCGAGTGGTGTATTTGGCGAGTGATGCACTACGGTACGGCAATGCGATGGAGGCTCTTGAGTCAAGCACTTTGGTCCATTCAACGCGTTACTTTTTTCTATCATTTTGCACACTTAGCAGTGTGTCAGATGCCTTTTATTGGATTTGGCATGCTGTAAGGGCTGCACTTAAGTGCACTATAGGTACGCTGAGTCATAAATGCGGGTTAACTCTGTAGAAGAAGTTAGTATTACTGTAAGCAGGAAATCCTCCAAGGATGCTGGACAAGTGGAAAGAAGAAGACACACCATGTCACATATTGTCAATTCATGAGCTTAAGCCTGCGCCCTTCGAACGCGTGAATGTCTAAAGACAGTGGTCTGCTGCTGTGACAGATATATGGCGACAAGGACGGCGACGGCTTCTACTGGGGCGAGGCGTCGGGCCGCGCCGGTTACGTGCCCTGCAATATGGTGTCCGAGGTGCAGGTGGACGACGAGCGTTTGGCTCAAGAGCTGCTGAAGGAGGAGGACCGGCCGCCAGGTCAGCCATGACGTCACGGGGATGGGGACATCGATGTTGGCAGCGCTGAATGGAGGGAGGGGAGGGGCTGCCGGAGGGACAGGACCGGCGACCTGGCTGGCCGTGACGTTTCTGTGACAAGGGTCACGCGGATTAACGGGATTGGCGGGTGGGGGTGGCTGAAGGGGTATCAAAAGTCAGGTCAGCCTTGACGTCACTGAGATGAGCATCACAGACATGAGCCGGTGGGCGAGGCGTTGTCTGAGGGAGCACCAGTCGCCAGGTCAGCACGTCCGTGACGTCATTGGGATGGATGTTGTAGAGATTGACGGTGTTGGCCGGGGACGAGGTGAGCAGAAGATCGGTGAGACCAAGCTATGCTTGGTGTAAGACCGAACACACATTGTATCGGACACGATAGATGCACTAAAGTGATAATGTGAGTTAACTGTATAGAAGTACAAGTACCACAGTCAGTAGGATATCCTCAAAGAATGCTAGGCAAAACAAACGTAAGATCTACGCTACCGGTACGGAATGCTCGCGGCCGTTAGCCGGCCGTGTGTGGTGCACACGCGCTGGGCCGTGCGGGGCCAGCAGAGGAGCCGGCGCCGACTGACAGCTGTCTCGCCGGTAGCTCGGTCCCGTGCCGGCGGCGGCCAGGGCGGCGGCGGCGGCGGCGGCGGCGGAGCCCGCTCGCGCGGCCAGGAGGACCGCTGGGGCGATATCTACTCCAGCACGCCCGTCCGGAGGATGGTGGCGCTGTACGACTACGACCCGCAGGAGCTGTCGCCCAACGTCGACGCGGAGGTCAGTGGTGGCCGGTGACGCCGCCTCGGGTCAGGGTGCCGACCGCTCAGGTCGACGGTCGCCACCGAACACAGTGCTGTGGCTTTCTGGGCTCTATCGTTCTTTACTCTAATGTTAATGGCTGCATTATAAGGTAAATAATTGGCGGACAGCTTAGCTGAGGTTATCTGATTGTGGCACAATACAAACGCTCCGTATTAGACCTTGCAGCATAGCCGTCACGATTTTATTAATATCCGTTAAAGTAACCATTCATTTTTGTGCTACATTTTCGGTTACATTTTTATTTTTAGAACACATTTCAATTTTACTTTACGCTAAATGTGCTGGCTCTGTTTGGCAAACTACATTTATGAGGCATGCAATACATGCAGCGAATGTTTGATTGCTCGCAACGCTGGTTCAGTAATGACCAGTGATTTTGTTCCCTTGTGGAAGCCAAATGCAACAACTTACGATAACGGGGTGAAGGACCTAAGCCGGGCCGAACATCTGGACCATTCAAAAGACCCCCTTACCCACTGCATGAGCAAGCCTTCGCCTAATGAAGGCCCTTAACTGAACACCCTGAGAACGCCCGACTCCGCACTGAACTTGTTGAACCAATTTGTACACCGATTTCGAACGTGTGGAATGTGTGAGACAAAAGAAGACCCGATGTTCAGGTCGCGTGGTCCGTTAATTAGCTGCAGTTCACCGATCGATGGAACGTTTGGGCACGGGTGATGGCATGCTTGCTTTTCGCCCGCAGGTGGAGCTGTCTTTCAGAACCGGTGATATTATCCACATATACGGCGACATGGACGACGACGGCTTTTACATAGGCGAGGTGAACGGCGTGCGGGGCCTGGTGCCCTCCAACTTCCTCACCGAAACGCCGCAGGTCAGTGACGCCAGCCTCGCCGCTGGACGTTGGGCTTTGGTTACAGACGGAGTTATCGCGACCTGTTGGATTCACGGGAGGGAGCCGTGGTATGTGCCCGTCCCCCGTACAACCGCTGCTGCATGTCAGTGGACTGGAAACAGCTGTGATGTCAGTGTGCCCACGGCATGAAGAAGTTGTACCTTCCGGCAACACCAGCTGATTCGCTGTCTGGTGGCCTGGCCACAGCTGTTGTGTCGGTGCCCTGGACCGCTTCTCTGTGACGTGCGCCGCCTCGTGTCCTCGTGACCTGGCCGGCCCGGGTCTTAATGATGTGACCCGAGTTGCCAATGTGACCTGACCCACCATTTTCCTGAGACCCGTGACCCGTTGTGAGCCCTTGTCAGCCGACCTCCCCACACCGAGCTTTGACCGGTCCTCCTTGTCTCTGGGCGCCGCCAGAACTACGAGCGTCGGCGCGGCCCGGAGCCGGCGGCGGCCGAGCGGCGCGCTCCTCCCGGGCCGGGCGTGCACGGGCCGCCGCTGCCCCCGCGCGACAAGGGTGACTCCAGGGATCGCCGGAAAGGTGAGAGCACCCCCGCCCCAGCGTGGTCCGCTGTGTGGAGGCGGCCGCCGCGCGACCGGTCGCTAGGTGTGACGCTGCTGGCGAGCTTGCGCTCTGTGCCCCCACGGCTCGCCGGCTGCCGGTAGCAGCACTGCTCCCTCATCACCGCGAGAGCCGCCGGCCCACCGGCCGTCGCGGCCGTCACGTGGTTAGCCCCGCCTTCCCTGTGGCATGCCCTGGCGGCGGCGCCGCTCCACCGGCCAATGAAAGCCCTCTGTGATGTCCGTCCATGCACGGCAGTACCGACTCCTCGTGGAGGCAGACTGTGACCAGCAGCCCAGGTTCGCGGCAGTATTTGGGGAGCAGCCCGGTGTGCCGGCCCATCAGTTCCATGAGCACAAGAATTTGTCACTCACGGGCGCCATTCTGAGGATACTGGTGCTCCGAATATGCGTTCTTCTGACCAGGACCCTCTGCCGGCTGCACCTCGATGTCTTGTCTGCAGTCGAGTAGTGTTTTGTTTCCCTGGGTGTTCCCTTGTAATCGTTTGCTTGTTACCGTCACCCTGATCTTTGTCTTCTTCAAATCCAGCCTGATCGTGTCTTTTCATATTCCTATTGTGGTCTTATAGGCGAAAATTTGGTCAGGTCCAGTTTGGAGCTTACTAGCATAACTTTTGTTCTTCATCTGCGTTATTTCCTATATTGTTATCATCCCTGCACCTCCTGATTGACTATCCTTTTTAGCAGCGTCCAGATGTCTGTACGATGCCTTCCTATCTCTCTGCCGATACCTCTTTCGTCTGTCACTGATGCTACTAACGGCGTGTTCTGGCTTCGTCTCTCCCTTTAGATCATCCCATGTCTCACGTAGACTTTAGACCCGAGCCTGATATCAGTCCCCCGGTAAGTCTGGTCAGGTACCGTCTCAGCTTGGCATGGAACGGCTTCCGAACCGGGACCCATTCGTTCGCCCGCTCGCGCCCGACCGCCTGCCTGTCTGTGGCCTGTTCCGTCGCACGTGGCACGTTGCCTTGACGCCGCAGGTCCCCCGCCATAGTAAGTCACCTCTGCTGTCGTGTGCTCTCCGCCTGTCAAACGCGCCGTCTTGTAAAACTTGCGCTGACCTCAGCGCAGTGGCAAGGCTGTCGCTGGCTTTTCCAGCGCGGTCTGCTCTGTGTCGCCACCCCAGCCGGTGCCTAAATGATGCAACCGGTGAATCTCTGTGAACAGCCGACAGCAATCGACCACAGCGCAACGATGCGCGTCATCTGTTTCAACTTTCACGTGGTACTACGAGTTGCAGAGCTTTGATCCATGGCGATACTATACCGCCAACTGATTGGTATTTTTAACTTACGATCACGTTTTACTTTCGTCTAGTACGCGCCCACAGAAAAGACAGATTCCGGTGGTAGGTTGGTCATGCGTGCTACATTCTCCTCCCTAGTGCACAATCGCAAAGGACACTGAGATGGTAGAAGCTTAAGCACACCCGCACACCGACGTACGTGTCCCGTCCGTTGACGACCTCTTGGTGCTCGAGAAGCAGCCGGGTTGGCGCCCGTTCGCTGACGTCATCGCCCCGTCACGGTGTCAGAGCTAGGCGGCTCGCACCGCCGGAGGTGCGCTGGCCCCCGTCGCAGTTTTAAGGGCACGGCAGGGGCTGCCGGGCGGCGCCACCGTCCAGCCGGTGTCGGTCGCTCCGGCCGCGGCTGTAAGCGCCCGCTCGCCACGGCCGTCAGTCACACCCCTCTGTCTCTCTCTTTCTCTCTCGTTTGCCAAGGTTTAGGTGGCCTGTTGGGCTTCATGGTAAGTGGGGGCAGGGCAACGCGGCCTCCCCGGTAGAGTAGAGATCGCCGCGACTAGCAAGGCGACGGTCGCCACCGGCGGCCGGCTGGCTGCGGCTGGCGGTCGGGGGTTGCTGTGACCGGTGGCAGCCGGTGACTGCACCGGTGGAACAACGGTCGCTGCTCACGAGGCGACCGCTTGTCATCGGTGCGGCACTGTAGCCGTTGAACCAATGCTTGAGCACAATCTGGTGCCGGGCAATTTCTGCTGCTGCCGGCTAGCCACCTCCGATGCCAGTGAATGTGGCAGCCGACGATTGCCGGAACTTGTGCCAAGTGATTGCTGAGGCTAGGCCTGGTGATTGCTGGCAGTTCTGCCTGGTGGTCGCCGGGACTAAGCCTAGCGATTGCCGGGACTGACTTCAGGCGATCGCCGGGCTAGTGCTTAGTGATTGCTTGGATTAGTGTCCTGTGATTGCCTGGGCTAGAGCCTGCTGATCGCTGGCAGTACCGCCTGGCGGTCGCCTGGACCAGGCCCAGGGAATGCCGGGACCGACTTCTGGCGATCGCCGGGCTAGCCCCTAGTAATTGCTTGGACTAGTGCCCGATGATTGCTGGGACCAGCGCCTAGTGATTTTTGGGAGTAGTGCCTGGTGATTGCCGGGACTAGTGCCTAGTGATTGCTGGTAATAGCACGTAGCCATACCGGAACTAGTGCCGCGGTTGCTGGAGCTAGCGTCTAGTGACTGCTGGGCCGAGTGGTAACTGCTGATGCTGACATTGGCAGGCAGTGATGGGGAGAGATGTGCCTGTTTCTTGCTAGACCTAGCTGCCATTCTGTATTTGAAAAGGCTGTACCATACAAATTACCGCATGCAACGACATTTATTTTTCATCCTGATACTTTATATTGAAAGCTAACCGAATAAATTTTAAAAAATTGGTGACATGAACATGTTAACGTGAAAATTCCTGACATACCATGTAGCTTCCGTGCACGAAATCTGGAGACTGGAAGACCCGCTGCTGCATGCAAAGCAAAGGCAGAGTGGAAGCTCACAGAATAATCATTGATAAGATATGCGAGACCAAAAGGCTGAATAAAAATAGTCATCAGCGGCCGTAATTTTGCAAAATGAGGGGAAGTAAAGTGGAATATCACAAAACCCACAACCAGAATACGCCAACAAACTGGTTTCTTCCTGGCTTTTGACCCACTTTTTTTCAAAAATCAGGACTGGAGACTCCTCAACTGAACAGAAAGCTACACTCCTGCCAGTCATCCCAAATAGTGATGGGTTACCACTGAATGCTTCAAATGGCCCTGGCGAGAGTGAACACCAGTTTGCTGCAAACTTTAACAAGTATGTACATACCGATAACGGTGAATAGGTTGTACGTCTCTTCGCATACTTAACGGACCGTTTTTAAGGGGTATTGCTGTAAGCGGGCAGAGTTCCTGAAAGCCTAGCAGCATGTTGTTTTTATGTTCTCCTTTTTTGAAGCCTTTGATCATTGCATATGCCATACTTTGATTTGGTAGAACGTGCCACATGGGGAACTTAAAACGCAAGGCATGCGACTCTGCGATCTAGCAGATAGACAGGCTGCCATGATGCTCATTGCCACCAACAGCATTGTAGTATTTGTGCTTGTGTGTGCAACGCATGACCTAACCCTAAAAACGTGAGACATTAGTTTTGTGGCTTACACTATTTGCTTCCTCCACACGAACTTGCTTTATATAGTGTTCATCATATAAAAAACTACCCAGGCTCAAGACCACAGGACGAAGGGTTTGCATCATTGTTTTCGCACCTTTTCACGTGCCCAGGAGTTACGCGACCGTGTTCTTATCGAACTGCCCTGAAACCGATGCAGCCGTACAGGTCATGTGAAATATGGAACATTGTGAAACAAATGCACGCCCCACGGCCACTTCCATGCATCGCCGGTCAGGTAAGTGTGCCGCTGGCCGGGCCGGCGCTCCGGCGGCGTGCCGACGACTGACACGGGTCGCTGTCCGCAGACGGCCGGCCCGAGGAGCGAGAGCGAGCCGACGAGCGCGACCACTCCCTCCGACGCCGCCAGCGCTGGTAGGCGGCTGCTGAACGGGGCTCCGCCGCCGCTGGCCGCCGCCGATGCCAAGCCGTCGCTGCTGGGCGGCCTGAGCAGCCCGGGCGGCTTCATCAAGGGTCTGGGCGGCGGCCTAACGGCGGCCAAGGCCCCCAGCTTCGTTATCCCGAGCGGCGCGGCGGCCGGCGAGCAGACCGCGCCGGCGGCGGCGGCGGCCGAGCCGGCGCACGGTGCGCCGCCCGCCGCCAACCTCATGCAGAAGCTGGGCGGCATGACGGGCGAGGCGGGCGGCACCGTCGAGGGCATCATGTCCAAGGGCAAGGAGCTCATCTTCAAGCGGTTTGGCTTGTGAGGGCGGGCCGGCCGGCCGGGCTGCGCCGTCCGCGCCCGCTGCCGGCGTGTGATACTCCCGCTGGCTGGGCCCACCCGGACCGGCGTCATGTACATATCATGCCAGCGGGGCGCGCCGCGGCCCTGGCCTCCCGTTGTTGAGCGCGTGCTGAGGGCGCGCGCTCGCCGCGTGCCAGGTCGACCTCATCTCCCCTGTCCGCGCCCGACTCGCACCGCACACCCCGGCCACGCCCGCTACCAGCTTCTCGTGCAAACCGCGTACTTCACTCGTGTCTCTTTACTCTGCCTCGAGCCAACCGTGCCAACCCTCGTGTTCGTCTGACGTGTTGCGCAGTGTGGGCGCGCGGGAGCGCCGGAGGACGCGCCGTCCTCGCGGGGACGCCGTCCTCCGCGCCTGTCCGGACATCTGCCGGCCGGCCGCGGCCCGCAGAGCCGGACGCCTCTCACAGTCCAATATCGTCTCGTCAGTGTTGGTCAGTAGTTCTCGTTTCATCAGCCCCGAGCCATCGGTGCCAGCGTCGGGCCGGCAGCGCGCGGGTGCGCGTGGCTGGCCGTGCTAGCGGTGCGTTCCTCTCATACGTCGATATATCATGTTACAGTGATTTTGAATAGTCGTACGAATAAATATTTATTCCGAATGGAGTCGTGCGACACGCGGGTGGGCGACTTGACCGAACGATGACGGTCTAGCGGCCAGAACCACGCAGCTGGCAGCAAAACGAAGATGCACGATGCCATATGATGTCCGCGGTCATGACCTGACATGTCCAAAGGCCGCAGCACTATTCATGGCCCTCACGTACCTCAAAGGTTCGATGCCACACTACAGCAGTAAGGTGGCTTCAACAGCAGTGTCAACCGTGCACAACCGACAGTCGACACACACACACAAGGCATCGAGCACCGCAGGTCACGGGCAACCCGGCGCACAGCCCTGTCGACAGGACAGGAGCTCGGCGGCAGGTCCCACGGCCCGCCGGCGGCGCGGACCGCCTCCGACGCTCCATCCGGGTGTAGTCTGAGCTGGCGGCTGCGGCCGGGTGCGGCCAGTGTCAGGTCACGGTCCGCTCCGGCGGCGGGGCCGCTCAGCTGGGCTGCGGCAGCGTCTGGACGGCGCGCCGGATCTGCTCCAGCGCCTCCGACAGCGCGCCGGCCGGCAGCAGCAGCACGCGCCGGTACGGCGTCAGCAGCGTGTCGCGGTCCGTCCAGCCGCCGTCCACGGCCGTGTCCGTCTCAGAGGCCACGCTGAACTCGAAGCTGCACTCGGCCGCCTGACGGACGGCGGCGGCAATGGTCGCTGGTGCTCCCCGCCTCACGCTGACAGCGCGGTGAGTCGGGTTCTACGACGGAGCATGGTATCCAACGGATGTGGACTGCGCATCTCTCGCAAATTACGGAATCATGCCATTTATTCAAAATTGAGACCGAAGTTGCCAGGGTACCGTGCAGCACAATGTCAACACATTATTAATCATACAACTGGAGCCAGCGGTAGCAACACATAAAATGGCAGAGTACTTGTTGGCGACGGATTATGAAGAAGCAACACCTTCCAATGTCACAGATATTTATTTAGCCAAACCCCAAGCTGCAGCATATCGCCCCTGCTGCTCAGTGCGAATATCAGATTGCAATGATGTAGCATAATTCACAACTACAGTTTACATAGCCCTGCATACCTTATCGAGAAGCTCCTCCTCGCCGTTGACCCAGATGGTTTTGGCGTCATGTACCTTTGCCTTCTTTTTGCTCTTGGCCCGATGCACCTTTGCTATGACGATATAGTGGGTGAAGTTGTACGGCATCTTCTTGGCGGCCGCCTCGATTTCATCCCTGTTCGCCACCGTCACACGGACTCAGTACGCCTTTATGCACAGATCAGTTGAGCCAGCGGGTGACAGTGGTCCATCTACGACCACATTCCAGTCAGATGAGCAGTTACCGGGCCTACAGCGGGCGGGTTAGCTGTCGAGCCATGACATAGCACCACAGGTCTGCACGCTCAGGCTCCGGACCAAAAAGTCGAATTGGACACAAGTCGAACAGAAAAAGTCGAAGGACGACAGTTTTAAAAGGACAAAAGTGTAGAAGGATAAAGGTGTCGATTGAGAAAAAAGTTCAAAGGGATGACATTTTTTAAAAAGAACAGTCAGCAGGCAAAAATATAGAAAAAGATAAAAGTCGAAACGGCAGAAGTCGAAAGACGGAACATCGACGGGACTAATCGTAAACTATGACAAGTAATAACACTTCTAGTCAGGGTGATTTAAAGCAGAAGTCGTCCGGATTTAACGCTTGGTATGATGGCAGATAAAGGTGCTCACAGGAAGAGCCAGTTGGAAAGGGACGGGACGGGACGGGGGACGGGACGGGACGGGACGGGACGGGACGGGACGGGACGGGACGGGACGGGACGGGAGACGGGACGGGACGGGGGACGGGGGACGGGGGACGGGGGACGGGGGACGGGATGGGACGGGGGACGGGAGACGGGACGGGACGGGAAGGGGACGGGGGACGGGATGGGACGGGACGGGACGGGACGGGACGGGACGGGACGGGACGGGACGGGACGGGACGGGACGGGACGGGACGGGACGGGACGGGGGACGGGATGGGGGACGGGATGGGGGACGGGACGGGACGGGACGGGACGGGACGGGACGGGACGGACAGGACAGGACAGGACAGGACAGGACAGGACAGGACAGGACAGGACAGGACAGGACAGGACAGGACAGGACAGGACGGGACAGGACGGGACGGGACGGGACGGGACAGGACGGGACGGGACGGGACGGGACGGGAGACGGGACGGGAAGGGGGACGGGAAGGGGGACGGGGGACGGGGGACGGGGGACGGGATGGGACGGGGGACGGGAGACGGGACGGGACGGGGGACGGGGGACGGGGGACGGGGGACGGGATGGGACGGGGGACGGGACGGGACGGGACGGGACGGGACGGGACGGGACGGGACGGGACGGGACGGGACGGGACAGGACGGGACAGGGCGGGACGGGACGGGACGGGACGGAAAGGGACGGGACGGGACGGAAAGGGACGGGAAGGGACGGGAAGGGACGGGACGGGAAGGGACGGGACAGGACGGGACGGGACAGGACGGGACAGGACGGGACAGGACGGGACAGGACGGGACAGGACGGGACAGGACGGGACAGGACGGGACAGGACGGGACAGGACGGGACGGGGAATATATCACATCACAAGGGACCGGATGAGAGCAGACGACATGGGATCCGATCGGATGAAACCGGACCAGACCAGTTGGGACGGGCCAGATCGAGCCGGCCGGCACCAGATGAGACCAGAATCGGACGCCACCGGACGTAGTCGGAGGGAACCAGACTGGACAGAACAGGATCAGACGGAGCCAGACGACACCAGATGGAGCCCGACGGAACCAGATGGAACTAGACAGAGCCAGACGGAGCTAGACGGAAGCGGACGGAACCAGGTGGAACCGGACGGAATTAGGCCGAACCAAACGGAACCGAACGGAACTGGACGGAACTGGACGGAACCGGACGGAACCGGACGGAGCCGGACCGGACAGGCAGGACTGGACGGAGCATGGCCCTGTTGGGTGGGACAGGACGGGTCCAGACAAATGTTAACCTCCGGGAAAGCTGACACCCAAGAGCCAAAATATGGCACCAAAATCACGGCACCAATCGTTTCGCGACTTCATCTCGCTGCTGCGTCGGCTGCGCGACGGCGCGAGGGCCCGATATTCCGGCGTATCACGTTAGGAAGAGTGACAGGGGTGGGGTATACAGGGCAGCCTCAGGACAGAGGAAGGTGTCTTGTGTGACTGTGTCGGCAGTTAACTGCATTATGCAACCCCAAAACATCCCCGTTGTGTGGAGCCGTTCTAGACACGAACCTATGGTACTTGATACCATTGCGGAAGGCCTTAAAGGAAATATTCCGCATTTGAAGATGTTGAAGCATTACATATAATAAAATAAGCCCATCTTAAAGTATTGGCATGCTTTGCAAAGAAAAATGCTGCTAAAGACAACACAATTCATGTTCGATAATGGGCTCCTGAATACGCATTGCTTGATTATGTCATCGTACTTTGCAAAACATTCATTGAGAGCCAATTGATGGCCGTGATATTTGGAAATCGTGCTCACGAACGCCAGATGTGAATGACCCGAAAATTATATTTTCATTGACCTTAATCGCCACAGGACTAATGGAATAGCAGGATTCTAATAAAGTTATTATGGCGTCATGAATGCCCGGGTAACCTTGAAACAGTCTCCCAAAAAGTCCGCACATTTTCGCGGGAGTGTAGCTCGGAAACTAGACGGGTTCAAAACTTACGAACGGCATGGCTGGAAACTGCACCGAATGATCTTCAAGAAAACTATTTCGGTTCAAAACCCCATACAAAAGCGAAACACCTCCTTTGAACTTCTGGGTTTTCAGCCAGGGGCGTAGTCTGCAAATGAGTTGGGGGAGGGGGGCAAAGAAGAGAAAAGCGCATCAGTTAGGGGGAAAATGCAAACCCAACAAATGGAGCTTCTCCCCGAACACAACCCTTCATTCCCAAAGTTGGGGGGGGGGGGGGCTCCAGCTCTCCGTGAACTGAATAAGAAACGACACCCCTCTGTTCGGCATTATGAGTTATGAGTTCTTACGCCGTCATCGACCTGCAATACACCAGGAGGTATATTGCATAACGTGCGGTTACGGTTAGACGGTTACGGTCGTACAGTTAAGCGACGGTATAGAGCAAACCTATTATATTGTCAGATCTACGCGTTTCAAGCTGTCTTTACGATGGCGAGTGTGTTATGATAGGCACTTACTGGAGGTTCGTGATCTTCATGTGGGCTTTTGACCCATTAGACTTTTCGTCTTGACTTTTATCCCTATCGACTTTTTCGTCTGTGGACTTTGTCAACTCCAGCGGCATTTGTCCATGGCGAACAAAACGGAGGTGATGAAATCAGCTGAGCGCACCTGAGCATGGTGAGGAGCGGCATGCAAATCTGGATGGGTATGTTAACGAAGCGTTCGTTGATGATCAGGCCGGTGTGCTCGGCGGTGGAGCCCAGCACGGCCGCCAACCGCTGCTGCACGGCCTCAGGCGCACCACTCGCCTTACAGCGCGCCAGCAGCGTCTGCGTCAGCTGGCGCACCGCCTCCAACTCCTGCCGGCCGGCCAGCCGCGCGTCAGTGCTGCGAGCCGGAGGTGCTGACGGCGCGAGTCCGCGCACGGGAGGCGGCGGACAGGCGCAGTGTCAGCAGCCGCGCTAATGGTTTATAAGGGCAAGATCGAGCAAAAAAAAACAACAACAGCAGGTTCTAGGGAAATCTAGAATACAACTGTGGCATGACTGAGATCAATGAGCACATATGACACATCTTTGTTAGTTTTGCCATAAAATAAAGGCAGTAAAATGTCAGATCCCCTTGACGGAAACCATGTGTATGTGGCAGAATGAACTCGATGCCCCCTCCCTCCCTTCTCCTCCCCCTAACCCTCCAACAACACAGCCAGCACATTCATATATTTAGCAAGACCATTCCTACATCCAACGTGGCAACAATCCACATGCTCGGGCTAAAAAGCAGGCTGAACAGGACACTGGTGTCACCTGGTGTTGCACAACGGAACTAGCACGCCCGGTAACGCACGCCGCCGCCCCACTGGTTGGAAACCGAGCCCGGTGCTGACCTCGGCGCCGGGCGCCAGCCACTCTGAGGTGTGCCTCTCACCCGCCGCTCCGTCAGGTTGATGACTGTGGTGACGCCGTACACCTCCTTGTCGCTGTCGGCGTCCATGGCATCCTCCTCGTCGTCGTCGTCCGCGTCAGGACCCTCTAGCTCGCATTGCTGACGACAGAGCACGGCGCAGCGATCAACACGAGTTCATCTTGCTGACAGTTATGCCAGGACACGCCCGCAGTGTTCAGCGACGGCGCAAGCGAGTGCTCCGGGGCGCGCTGCGCCTGGGAAGCTGTCGTCGAGCAGTCGCGAACCGCGTGGGTTCAGCTCATTGGACGCTGACAGTAGAAGGTGCCGCATGCCTGCACAATAATTACAGCATCAATGAAGCAAAATTACAGACCAAAAGATCTTGGAAAGACAATAAAAGCTTTAATCAGTGTTCAAGGAATTTAGGTTGTGTCATGGGCAACAATTGGGGATAAATTGTGGCAGTGTTATTGTACAATCTTCTCACTCTAACTGCAACTCTAATAGCAACAGTGGCCAATGTTTCCCAGAGCACTGGTACTTGAAGGATGCTCATCAGAAGTTTTGTTAAAGGGAGCATGCCAACTGTTTTGTACTTCTCATTTGTTTCTACATCAGATGTCTAATTTGATCAGTTATACCAGTTTCCTTGAAATCTTGAAAAGCCCAGAATGTCAATTTGAAGTAGCCACTACAGTGGTAGAGCTCAAGCCTATGTGGAAGCCCTGTGTCCAGTCACAAAAGTTCATTGCCAATGGCATCATTCATATCAGTATAGTTGACACTTTTCAGTCTGCTGGCTTCCAATGTGTAGGTTAAAACACCTCAAAAGTGGTAAATCTGGTCCGTAATAGCTGATGACAGTCCTTTGCAGATTCTGCTGTATTGGTATGACCATACTCTAGGGCTACAAAGAGAGATGTGGTGTGGTAGTGAAACATTAACAAAATAATTTGGACTAAAATCAAATTAAAATCAATTTTCATTATATTTTCATACTGCTGCACCATTAACCAGTGCAATTACATGGCAATAGTCAATTTGTGGTTCTGATCCCTGGTCCTGAAGTTTTACCTGAGTACGTACTGGGAGTATATCCAAAGGTTGGACACTTCCTTTGCATGTCTCACATATTCTGATGGACACATACCTGCCTCAATCATATATAACAGTAACAATATGGTTCAATCATGTTCATACCAAAATAGTGTGAGATACACCCACCATAGAATGGGATCACCTGGTGGGATATGGACATGCTTCCTGAAAGTCATAGAATATCTTTGAATGTTGCTTTCACCTCATTTCTCTCAGCATTTAACATGATACTCTCCTAACCTCACTAACATTACATTCCACACCTTCAGCACACTGCCCACATAATTCTGGCTGATGATAGTATCAGCCAGCTCGCCCCAGTTGATGTGAGCACGAGGCAGCAGAGGCAGCAGCAGCTGCCGAATGCCATGGTAGTCTGTCTGTGTCGGGCAGCGGCCCTCAAAGTCCACCATCACCTGCGGCAGGCTCAACAGTCAGGGGTGAAGAATATAAACCAGTGCAGTCATGGTACATTGGGGGCATTGTGGCATCCATAGATGAATCCTGATGCAAAACTGGGGGCACATAATGGTGCATGAAATTGCCTGCATTTTATTGTTACTAACATCTACAGCCAACTAGCCTCAGCTGCAGTCACAACAGCTTTGGCACATGCAATCTTGTTCACAGCACAAGGAAGGGTAACAGCAATGGTAACAAACAAGTTACTGATCCAAAGTAACAATTTCACTAAATTTGTGCACATTACATCATGAGCTCTGGTTGGCGTAATTTCATATAACCGTCGGTAGGATCAGCGAGTGACAAAATAATGTAAACATAGTATGTACTTACATTTTGGTCAACGTATTTTTGCAGCTCAGGATCTCCTTCAGATTCAGAGCTACTTGAATCGCTATCAGCATCCATTACTTCAACATTTCTTCTTTTGGCACTCATGTCGACTGCAATAAAATATCAGTTCTCAAGCTGTGGCCACCATACCCCACGTGGTATCGCTGGCAAGGGACAGAGCCCTTGCACTTCCCAAAAGAGTCTGAATCAACAATCCAGCAAGGAACCCATACAATACTGGTATCAGCAGCCACTCCAGACATTTCGAAGCAAAATCCCATCTTTCTCTACCTTTGGTGGTCAGGGTGTACTTTCCTACCTAACGTTAGAAAAAATCATTGTACACCATTCGTCGTGTTTAAGGCATGACATATCGTAAATAATCTCAAAACAGGTAGAATCATGCTCCTACCTTCGAATTTCAATAACTTCGATGGCGGGCCCCCGAGCGCCGCGCGCACCGCGCCGCCTGGACTTCCCAGCGCCGTTTCCGCGTTGCCGTTGCGTAAATACAATATTTCTGCGTACCAAGAACTGTACAAAATGTACGGGACCAAAGTAAACCATTCGTCATGTTTAAGGCAGGACAACCATAACCTAACTGCGAACCATAAAAATATTTACTAAACATAAACCATATTTACCATAACCATATTTACCATATAAACCACATTAACTGCGAACCATGCTATAAACCATAACTATGACTATAAACTATACTATATAAACCATACTATAACTATAAACCATATTTTCTGCGAACCATAAAAATGTACCGGGACAAGGTAGCAAGAATCCATGAAATTTGATCCTCGACGCCAACGGGACCATGGGTTGCAGGGGGATTGGGTGGGGAATGTAAAGCAAAATGAGATCATGGCAGCTAAATAAAAGCTCACTATATGGCACCTATATATGGCATGGAACATGGATGCCAATGAGATGCTGGGTTGAAGGGGATATAGGGTGGGGAGGTTAGGTTAGGTTAGGTTAGGTTAGGTTAGGTTAGGTTAGGTCAGGTCAGGTCAGGTCAGGTCAGGTCAGGCTAGCTTAGCTGAACACGACGAATGGTGCGCAATGATTTTTCCTAACGTTAGGAAGGAAAGTACACCTACACCCCTTTGGTGCTACCAGGACCGCCGACAACACGAGGTGCACGCCGAGTTGAACTGAGTGGGCGCCGCAACGCATCAGGAACGCTGTGACGTCACTGATAGTAGTTCGTATCGATCCAACACTACATGTATTTTTTAACCAGACATGGTGGCTTCAGTCTTACCTTACATACCTGCCATAGATAAATACGACGTTTATGATGTCTGCCCACCGACAAATCACAGATATATGTACGCAATGTGGTCCTCAATGGAGACCATGATGCATCAGCTAAGGGTATGACATCACTGGTCTTCATTTTATATTGATTCACTTTTACCAAATCACACCTGAAGCATTATCACCATAAAAGTTGAAAAAGTAAATAAAGCGTCATATGACGATTACTAGCACAATATGTTCCGCAGCTGGCAACGCGTCACCGTAAGGCCCATTTGAGCAAATAAATCATGCATCGGCCCACATTACCTTTTGTGTTCCAACCATTTCTTGAACGCACATTTCTAACCGCGGTGGACATGCCTGTTACGTGATGACCAGCATCTAGCTTCATGAAAGGAACTTCCTGTTTACTTCCTGCAGGCTGAAGTAATTTCGGCGTAACCCTATGCTTGCTACGCCGGTTTCATATACCTGACAGCACCCATCCGAAGTAAATCGTAAAATGCTGATGCGGAAGTAATTTTAATGGCGACGCATCGTTCTCGATGGTCACTTGGCTAGTGGTGTCCTGCAGCGCCTAGAGAGCGCACAAGTGCCTCAGCAGTGCAGGCCTCACTCTAAATGCGGCAAAATGCCAGCTGTTCCGAACAGCGGTGACGTACCTGGATCACCGAGTCTCAAAAGACGGAACCGGTCCTGATCCAGAGAAAGTACAGGGAGTGGTGCACTGGCGAGTGCCCAGATCCAAAAAGAGACTGTTTGCTTCCTGGGATTGGCTGGTTACTTCGCCGCTACACGGCCAACTTCGCCAAGGTCGCCGCACCATTGACGCAACTGGTGCAAAAATATGCGTCATTTTACCGGTCGCCCTAAGCTGAAGGAGCTTTCATCAAGCTGAGTGACCTGCTGAGCTCTGCATCAGTGGTGACTCTGCCTCGATTTGAAGACGGCGCAGTGTCCTTCATCCCGAACACGGACGCATCCGACGGTGGGAGTGGGACCTACGTTTTCCTGGTGCAACATGGACGAGAGAGCGTGATAGCCTACGCAAGCGCTGCGTTCACAAAAAGCCAGAAGAATCATTTGATGACAAAACAAGGGCTTTTAGAGGTGGTCACGTTTATGACGCATTTTCGTCACTTACTGTTAGGACTTAAGTTTGGGTTGCGAACCTACCGCAGCAACCTGCAATGGCTGTTAAACTTCAGGGATCGTCAGGGAGTGCTCGCCCGATGGCTGGAAACACTGGGCAATATCCAGTTTACTGTGGTCCACCGCCCCAGTCTGGCCGATGTGCCGATGCCGACGGGATGTCTCGTATGCCACCGCCGACCCGAGAGGTCGCCCGCCAGACAGCCCGGTCCTTCCAAAAATTTCGTTTCCTTGTGGCGGCGAAGCGGCCGTGAATGCAATTGACATCGCCCCCGCCGCCGCCGCCATGGGAAACGCACATGCCCCGCCCCTTCTCGATGACGGGTCCCTCGGTGGGGCGGAGTCTGCCACCGTCGCCCCGGCCCCAGTCAGGGGCGGGACAGCCGGCCGCCCGGCGCCGCGTCAAGGGCCACCCGGGCAGCGTCTGGGTCAGCTGTGCAGGACCCATCCCCAAACAACATGGTGGACATTGTCCAATGGGACGGCTCACCAAATGCGACATCCCGGCCAACTGCCTTCCTGCGGGAGGAGCAAGTAAGAGACTCAGCAATTTCGACCCCCATTCAGTGACTCAAAGACGAGGAAAGGCTCTTAGACCCTCCAGCGAATCTCCGCGAGAAAGCTTTCTTTAGGCAGTTTTTCGCTTCAAGGTGTCAGAGGGCCTCCTTTGTCACACTGAGAGGACAGGGGTGAGAAATGTAGAGGAATTCCAAGTCGTGCTGGTCAACCAGCTGGTGAACGGAGTTCTGGAATCAATGCATGCAAGTTCGACAGGCGGGCACCTCAACGCCCAGAAACTTACAAAAACCGTTCACAACCGATTCTAGTTCATGAAATTGTGTGCTGCCGCCCGTCAAAACGCTGTCAAACGTGTGAAAAGTGTGTCACTCGCGACATGCCGACGCCAAAACCGCGCACTGCCCTGCGCAACCTTGGCGCCAAAGCACCTCTCGAGAAAGTGACAATTGATCCCTTGGTGCACCTGCCGGAGACTGAGGACGGGTTCAAACACCTGCTAGTGGAGATCGATCATTATGCCAAATGGGTAGAAGTGTATCCATTGAAATCCCAAGTGGCTGACGAGGTGGTCGTTGTTCTGGTCAAAGAATTTATCTCACGCTGAGGCGTGCCACAATGTTTTCATTCCGATAAGGTAGCAAATTTACGTAGTAAGGTGTTGAAAGAAATGTGCCGTCTGTTGGGGATCAACAAAACACAGACGTCACCGGGCTGGCCAGCCGGAAGTGGGGTGTGTGAGAGATTAAATCAAGTCATACTCGAAATGCTCTCTCGGCACCTAGATAACAAGCATCGCGCGTGGCAAGAACATTTTCTATTTTTTCTCCTCGTCTATCGGAGTGCAGTGCATGGCAGCGTAGGTCTCCACCTGTGCCTCCTAATGCTGGGGAGAGAGCCGCGACTGCCGGCCGAGGTCGGGTTTAAACGACCGCTGAAACAGAACATGAGACGGCCTCGTCCTACGCGGGTCACCTCCGCCTGGGACTGCAGAAAGAGTATAACTTCGCGTGACAACGCACAGAGGCGACCATCGCCCCAAACCGAGATATGAACGGCTGCAAGTTAAACGTGTTCCACCACCAGGCGGATGACGCAGTGTACATGTTTCGAAAAGTGCCCGCCCGAGACGAGTACCACAAGTTCGTCGGCCCTGGAAACCGGCGGCGGTGCTTGCCCAAACAGGTGAACTAAATTCCACATCCAGCTGTGCGACGGCAGGCGCAGGAAACTCGTGGTCCACCATAATTGGTAAGGGCCTCGTAACGGCGACACTGCAGAGCAGCAGTCGCCGTCGGTAACATCAACACAACGGGGTGTGCCGGCCGCGGGGCCGCATAGCCAGGCGGCACAGTCGCAGCGCCAGGTGCCGATTCAGGCGGGCACACGGACACCGGCCGTGTCGATGTCCACAAACAGACAGCTGTATCGGCTGAATCAGCAGCACCATTTTTGCATCTGCCAGTGACGCAGGGGGCTGACGTGGCTGTGTGTCCGCCTGAGGAGGCTGAGGCCGCGAGTCCTGCAGCAGCCCAAGCCGCGGCTGCGAATCAGCCGGCAGAGGCCGGAGCTGCGCATCCCGCACCAGCCCAGGCCCCGGCTGGAGTGTGATGAGCCGACGACTACAGCGATACCGACCTCGTGCCTCATCCCAGCACGCAGGTCACATGTTCCGCGGCCCGCGTCACCACCGTCCCTCCGTAACCGGGCGCCAACCTGAGAACCACCAAACCGTCTGAGTCGCCAGTCGAGTGCGTCCAGGTCCCGGATCCCAGTGTCTGTACGGCAACTGTGTTCGAACGGTCATGGCGAACAGCAGGGAGCCAGAGTCAGACGGTTCCCAGGCAGATTTGGTCCATAACTGCGATAGGTGGGTATAAGAAATTACTCAGAGTGTATTTGTATTGTCTGTATTACCATGTTGTTTAGGTTAGTTGCAATGGCGTGACGATTATTGCTTAAGGGCCTTTCTCACTGTGCACATCAAGTTAGGCTTGCGGGATATGTGTTCAACATGCCATGGATTTGTTCATTACGTCATGAATGAGCAATTCAGCGGTGAGAGCATTCCCTTTGTAAGAAGGGTGCAGCGTTAGGTGTTACAGGAAACACCTCCGTGCTAACCAGTGAATGTTTGCGTAGTTTGGGAGCGTCGTTTAGAGACGCTTGCGTTACCCTCCTCCTGCCCCAGGCACCTCGTGCGAGGGATGAGGCCGCGCGGGCCGCAATAGGAGCGGAACACCAGTGCCTCTAAACCTCGAAGCGGTGCTCGCCGAACTACGCAAACATTCACTGACTAACACATAGATGCTCTCTGACACTTGCCCTGCTCTTACTCTGAGCTTCTTATAGCATATCCGTCTGCGT